CTGTCTCTCTCTATGGTAGAAGAAGGTACGTAGATCTACGTATCTTGCCTTTAAAATTAATTCTTTGGGTGAAATTCCCAAGGTGGTGTTATTGGTCCATCAGAAATTGCTAGTATCAGGTTCTCCTTCCCTTATACACCGCCATCTTGCCACAATAATATAAAGAAAAATATAATAATAATAATACTTATAATTATAATAATTATAATAAACAGATAAACACGCACTGGCTTTTATCTAAACCAATTCACTGTTGCCCCGGCTGTGTGCTCTTAATTTTAAAAGAAAAAGACAAAGAAAAATCGGCCATGGGAAAAAAAAAAGAGAACACAAAAATAACAAGAAATCCTAAAAAAAAATAAAATAAAAAGTGAAAAAGACTTTAAACTGAATTAAATGAGTTTGCCTCATCTGTGCTGCCTAGAACAATTTCACAAAGAGTTTTTGTCATAGTGTCATATTACTTAAAAGCTACTGAAGGAAAAAAAACTATCTATCTGGGACAGATTTAGGAAATTTCGGGCCCTATAGGCAAAGACAGGCAGGTGGCCCTTGAAACCTACAAAGACAACACATAAAACAGATACAGAATTTTTAATCGAATAGACATACATTATTTGTTCTACGTCTTGTCCCTCTCTTCTTGTCAATTTTCTTGTTTTCCTCTATATGTTTTGTACTCAGCTGAATTTTCATGCTGTCTCAAAAGGAATGGAATATTTTTTCCAAGCACTAAGCTCACTTAGCTGATTGCTCCTTCCTGTGTTTCCAAAATAAAAGGTGACAGCAAAAGTAAATTACTTCTTTTCACCGTAGACAAGCCATGATCAGCTTATCTGTTCTTGTAGGAGACAAATGTGGTGCATTGTGTGCCATACTATGAATTTGTGTTGTGGAAGTGGAGACTCAAATGGAGGTGGGTGTGTGTACCACGGAAGTATGTGTATAGTTACGCACTCAACTGTCTCACTGGTGAGAGAGTAAGGGTGGGGCTGCCGTAATTTAGTTAGACCTTGTTTGCTACAATCATCCCTGCTGCCCTGTCATAACTGTAGCTCATGCTAATAAACCAAACAAAAAGCATCCTGGATGTCAGCGTGTATCTGTAACAATAAATTATTAAGCGTGTCACAAATAGGGCAACAGATGAGGATCCGACCCAACTCTCAGCGGCTGAAAGGATCTGTTTGGAAGCCGCAATAGTTCTTAATTTTTCATTTGTATGAAATAATAGCTGCAAGATAGAGGAGAGCAGGAAGCGGGTTGTGTGTGTGTGTGTGTGTGTATATATATATAAAATTATCCAGTTTTGACAATTTTTAAATTTTTCTTTTTTTCTGTTCAAACTATAATACTTTTTTTTTAAACTTAGACTTTAATATATATAAAGAAAACAAAACCTGATTTTTTTTATTTTATCTACTTATCAGTTGAGTCCTTTTTTATTTTTAAATAAAGGGTTGTTTATTTACTAAACAGATATGTCTTAGTTCTCCTGCATTATTTCATTTTTCCTCAAATCAGTAGGTTGCTCTCATTTTATTCATTATAGTTTGTTTCTTCCTACATGGATGGACTGAGGGTGTAATTAACATATTTTCATAAAAGTTAAGCCTGGGATTTAAGATTTCAATAAAACACCAAAGATACAGTATATACATTTAAATTAAATCTAATATATATATATATATATATATATATATATATATATATATATATATATTAGATTTAAATTAGATTTAGGGTTAGATTTAAATTGAATAAAAATTTACTGCGGTTTTCCACTTTGCTCTCTCTGGCAACAAGTTAAAATGAATTGTTGTGCACATGCTGTTGCAGATCCAAGTGAAATTTTACCCTTGTCGCACTAGACAGAAGTTTTTATATTGTTTTTCTTCTGTGTGGAGACTGTGATGGGGTTTGAAGTGAATAGAATAGATTTCAACAGCAGGCACGTGCAGAGGGGGGGGCTAAGGGGGCTTGAGCACCTGCCCCTTTTGCTCCATGATCCCAATTTGCCCTTTTGGCCCCTTTTTTTTTTTTTTTTTTTTTTTTTTTTTTATTTGACACTTGTACTGAAATTATTATTATTATCTTTTTTTTTGGCAAGAAAAACAATACAATAAGCCCTCCAGTCACATTGTTACCTTTGACCTTTTGCCAGTGACGACGCACTTGCCTCTCGCACAGTCAGATAAGGCGGCTAACTGCGGAGCTAAAGGTAGCGAACATTCCACATTACACTGTGGCCGCTGCTCATTTGGCCCTAAGCAAGATCAACCATGATCGGACGGATGGCTATGTCTTCAGTCTGCACCGCCTCTCCAATGTCAACCTGAATAGACATGTAAGTGAAACCAAATGAGCCCAATGGATGATGCAGTATTGTTTGATCTAAAACACTGTTTACTCTGTGCTTTTAGTCTTTTACATTGAAAATTATGTTTTTTAATTCACAAAAAACTGTTCTGTAATGATTACAGAACAGTTTTTTTGTGAATTAAAAAACATAATTTTTGGTGAAAATACTGGAGTAGGCTTCCTACTTGTCAGACAACGGAAAACTTTGAACGTTGTATAATTTCTCTACTTTAGCAAAGAGTAGCGGTTTACACAGAGGAAAGTATAGGACGCGGCGCGCCTTTCTCTGAAGAACTACTGAGCGGGAGGAGAGAGCCAGGTGAGGAAAAGCTGTTCTTATCTATCGATTCAGTATTTTTATCATACAGACATTAGGCTGTTGTTCTTGTGCTATGAGCTAGCTGCTAGCTAATGACTTTGCTAGCAAAGCAAGATAACTAAAAAGCTTCCCTGTGTCGTTAATGATAGTAGGACATTCTTCAGTATTACTTATGCAATAGGGGCACATCGCCCATCAAAAACCTATCATCTCCATAATGGATATATGTCTGATTTTCTAATTTCCTTTGCTGCATGATGTACATTGCATTTATTCTAGCGTTAGGTAAATGTATCTTGAAAAAGAACTCATCCAGAACTACCATGATAGATATATGATAGATATAATGTATGAAGCTGGTGAAAACAAAACTGCGCAGCTTATGCAAGGAGGATTGGTTGTCAGAACTTCTTTTGTTGGCAATCGAGAAGGATGTGCCAATCATTCACAGTGAGGTTATTAACATTTTTAAAGACATGGCTAACAGAAAACTGCTGCTGTGAACAAAAGAGAACAAAAATAGCAAAAATGCTTAAAAGTTGGAAATTTGTTTTTAAACAGTTAAATCACCATGACGGAAAATAAGTTTTTGCATCATAATCTTGGATTTAGTTTGGGGGAAAAAGAAAGGCAAGAGACTGAAATAAATAAGACATTGACCTTCACTCAACACAGAAAAGATGAGACAATGCACATTTTCCCATGAGACTGGGTTGGACAATGAGGAAAAAAAGAAAAGAGAAACTGACAAGAAAAAACGAAGAGGAAAGATTGAAGAAAATGTATATAGGTACTTACAAAATACACTAAGACACAAACAGAGTAGGCTTTTCTCATGGTGACATGCAATAATAAAATGTTTGTTTTGTTCTTTTTTTTCTGCAGTTCCACGTTAAAGTTTGATGCAGCAGCTCTGCTTTTCTGAATGGACCGTCTCCATCTCCACTGTCAGTACAGTAAACCAGGCAGACATTCTTTTTTATAGATTACAGTACACTAAAAGGTTGCATTGTGCCCTTGTATGCAACAGTTTAATTCTGTAAAGACAAAATATGTCTGCTGGTCCAGCTCTGATTTACATCTTTGGCTAAATTGCAGGTTTGAATATTGTAATACTTTCCTATAACAAAATAGACCTGCAGAAAGAAATTACTAATAAAATATTTTACTTATGCATAGTTCTATGTTCTTTCCCTTATTTCCCTTAGCTTTGATTGTATGTCTCACAATTTTGTAATTTATCATTGTTCATTAAACTCTGAAAGCTATGTGACTTTGTTAATATTCTGTCCTAAAATGCGATAAGATGTGCCCTTTTTTTTTTTTTGAGCACCTGCCCCTTTAGTGGTCTCTGCACGGCCCTGTTCAACAGTATTGTTAGTACATTATCAAGTAGAAAGCAACAAAATTCACTCTCTGCATTTAACCCATACCATTGGAGAGCAGTGGGCTGGCATTTGCGGTGCCGGGTGAGCAGTGTGGGGGTTAAGGGTCTTGTCCAGGAAACCAGAGTGCAGGCTGTGGGGATCCAACTGGGTACTTGCAGCCTTTACAGAGCACAAGCACACCGCTCTAACCACTAACTCCCCCACTGTGTGTGTGTGTGTGTGTATGAAGTGGCTGGTCTTTTGTGATCTATCTTCAAAAACAATCACCGTCGTTCTCTTGCTAATGCATCTATGGCGGCAGACACTAAAAGCAGCTGGGTGAACAAGAATGTCCAACTCTAAGTAAATGCACGATGTTTCTACATGTATTTGCTCAGGTTATCTTCACAAACTTGTTCAAAATTAAGAAATATGTTCACAAGGAGAGTATACAACATACCTTTTACACATGCCATAAGATTAACTGTATTAAAGACTAAAAATAATCATTTTTCTTTAACACTCATCCATTTAAATTATCGAATTGTGTATAAAATCAAGCACCTAAGCATGCAGACTGTTGTTACAAACATTTGTGAAAATTGGGTCACTCTCAGGAGCTCAGTGAATTCTGGTGTTGTGCTGTAATAGGATACTACCTGTGCAACAAATCCAAAGAATTGATGTATTAAGGCATTGATTTAACATTTAGTTTTTCCCACTAAAATATATATATTAAAAAAATCACTAAATATAAGCAAAAGTTAGCTAAATAACAGAAATGTGACAGTGACATTTTTTCTTAAGCTTTTTATATTTAGTTCCTACTGTTACGTCCATCAGGCTTGTTTGGTGGGGTAACATTAAAGGAGACCTCACAAGGATTTTCTTTAGTGTTGCGCCGATGCCATTTTTAGCCCCGATACCGATACCCGATACCTGGCTGTGCAGAATTTGCCGATACCGATACCATACCGATACCTTTGTGAAGCAGGAAAAAGACTAATACAAATTTAATCCAGTACAACTTTTTATTGCCTACCTGGAATGGGTGACAATAGTAACATGTATAATACTAGTGCAAGAAAGTAAAATTATATTAATAATTGAATAAACTCTGCAAAAATAGTGCAACTTTCATAAAATTGTAACATGTTTAATACTAGTGCAACAGTAAGAATATAAAATTATATTTAAATAAGAGGTACATTTGAGAGATAGCTGCATTAATGAGTATCTGAGGTAAGAACAAACAGGATTAATCAGAACTGACATGAGAAATAATTTCTTCCTGTAAATTAGGTTTAGGCTGATGTGCATTTCTGTAAGTGCAGCCAGAATTTTATAAAATAAATAAAATAAAAATAAATAAATGCTAGTATCCTCCCAACAAGTACCAACTGCAAAAACCACACTGAAGAAACTAAAAATTAAAAAAATTTCACATTAGTCACAGAACTGTCACACAACACTTAGTAGTGTTTACTCAGTCCTCTTGAGGATTCAAGTCTTTGGGGTTCAAGCTCAGATACATTGGCAGATTTTTCTTGAGGAAGATCAGTGTTTCTACATGATCTCCTGACAGCCTATTCCTCTTCTCATCCAGTATGTTAGAAGCTGTGCTGAAAAGCCTCTCACTATCTACGCTGGTGGAGGGAGCGGAGAGAAACTTTGCAGCTGTAGTAGCCAGGGAGGGAAATCGTTCTTTATTCTTTCCCCAGTACTCAAATGGGCTCTCTACGTGGTGGATTGTTCTCTCAGCCAGATATGTCTCTATCTGTACCTGTGTAACTGTGCTGCTGGGCCCACCTTGTTCAGCAGCATGCTCTTGCAGGAATTCCTCATACAGCCCCTTAAAGCAGCTGCTTGTGTTGGGCTCTGCTGTCATCCGGAGGGTCTTACTGGCTGGCTCTGCTGCATCAGTGGTGGTTATCTGCAGTGAAGACTCCTCATTTTTCTCCACCTCTTGGGTCAGTGCACTTCTTGCCAGCTTCCTGTTCTCTGCACTCGTGAAGTATCTGCAGTAAAAAAATAAACAGAGTGGCATAATATAGCTTTTAGCTCATATATGTTGTTATTTAGCACTGCATTTAATTGCACACTAACACAAGATGTTTAAACTTTACACTATACAGCTCACAATTAAACTAACATACCTGTCTTTGTAACGTGGGTCTAATATGGTTGCAACAGAGTACAAGGGCTCCGCCTCAACGGTCTGGAATCTTGTGCCCATAGCTGCTAGAAGTGTTGCCTTCATTGTTTTTATCCCGCTGTCCTCTGTGGTCTGTTTGGCCAACAGACGCTTCAGAACGACGACTGAGGGGATGACCTCTGAGATGGTGGAGGTGGCGAAGCTGATCTGTTTTGTGATCTCTTCAAATGGAGCCAGAATAGTGTTGATTTTCTCCAGCAAGGTCCAGTCACTTGCTGTCAGTGTTGCTGGGAGCTGGTGGTCTGCAGCGTAGAGTGAGAGGGCACTCTTTTGCTCCAGCAGGCTCGCAGTCATATAAAAGGTGCTGTTCCAGCGGGTGGGAACATCTTGGATCAGACGTTTGATTAGCCTTCCCAGTCCTGCCTGGACAGTTTCAAGTCTTGATGTGGCCAATGGGGAATGTTTGAAGTGTCCGATTATTTTTCTCCCACTGGCCAGCTCATCGCTCACATTTTTCTGGGACAGCAGTCCATCGTGCACCACGAGTTGAATCATGTGTGAGAAACATCCCAGGCTGGAGACTCCCAGGTCCATCATTGCCTTCTTCATATTGCTTGCATTGTCCCGAAGAATGGCATGGACCTTTAATAATAATAATAAGAATTAGCATAATATTATTAATAATAATGTAATTATAATAAAAGTTAACCACAGCATCCTGTATTTGTATCGACCTCCCTATCTCTGTACAACAGCAGCAACATCACACAACTCCATCATCATAGCAACGCATAATACACGTAGGCATGAGTCTCTCTCTCTCTCTCTCTCTCTCACACACACACACACACATAGGTCGCAAATTACTGCGGCATTTCTTTCAAAGTTTAGACTAGAAAACGTACGTTACCTTTGACTTCGGGATGCTCCAGTTGTGCAGCATGCTCTCAATTGCTCCTGCAATAGCTTCGCCCGTGTGTGATCCCTTGAATTCATTCGCATGTAGAATGATGCTTTTCGGTGTGAATGTTTCCAAGTCTACCCAGTGGGCTGTCAGGCTAAGCAGGGAAAGCGGGGAGACTTGGCTGCTCCAGAGGTCGGTTGAAAAGCTTATGGCCCCTGCCTCCCCTAGCTTTCCTAAAACATGCTCCGTTACTTTATTTTTCAGTGCCGGGATAGTCGTCCCTGTGATGTATTTGCGACTTGGGACCTTATACTTAGGTACTGTGTGAGCCATAAAAAGCCGGAAGCCCACGCTTTCAACGAAGGAGAGGGGCAGGTTACAGAGAACAGTCATCTCGGTTATTTTCTCAGACATCTGTCTTGCTGCTTCACTCTTCTCGTCCCACTGCTCTTTCCCACGAAGTGAACTGACCAGGGTTTGTTGCTGCGGTCCTTCCTGGCTTCGCTTGGTAGTCTCGAACTCTTTATGTTCGTTCACATGTTTCGACTTCAAAGGTTTGATTAGGTTCGAGGTATTGAAACTACCCGTTTTAACTCTGCCTCGTGAAACTTTCAGGTCGCAAATCTTGCATTTAGCTGTTGTACTCGCAGACATTTTCTTCTCCTGGTTTGTTTTTCCGCTGCATGAAAAAGCTGCCCCGGCATTGGTCAAGAGCGGCTATTGGCCCGCCCTTATTGGTCTGGAGCGGGCCAATAGCGATAGTTAACACTAGTCCATGTCGGGAGAGAGAAGGCTGCGTTCAGGTGACATACGAAAAAATGGTATCGGTGCACTATTTGTTGGTACTCGCCGATGCCGAAACCACCATTTTAGTGCTGGACCGGGCCCCCGCCCCAAAACTGGTATCGGTATCCGTGCAACACTAATTTTCTTTAAAGTGAAAATTGAATTTATTAAATTATAATAAAGAAAACAAAACCTGAAAAATTGGCTGGCTGGTTTATGTTAATTGATTCTTAAGCTTTTTTCTTTTCTCCCCTTTTTCCATCATACGTATATCCATCCTCTTTGATTCACTCGGCATATGGACAACCCTCCAGAGAGCCTACCACTTAACAACTTGGAAGAAAGGAGTGGTAATCATGGAAATACAAACACACAGCAAAAGATGGAGTAAAATTGCAAGCAAAGTTGTCTGAACAAATATATTAAAGATGCACTGCAATGGCCTTAGAAAATGTAATGCTTTATGGGATGTGAGGCACTTAAGAAATAACACTTTGATTGTTTATTTGTTTGATTTTAATTAAAGGAAAAATCCGATCATATTCAGAATTCAAATCTTTGAAAGCAATTTAAATATAAAATTATTACATACTGTTTAATACTTGTTAAGCATTTTTAATTAAAAGTAATTTTCATTTTAATTTGGAGGCATCCGTGTTTGTCAAAAAACACTATTGCCACCTACCAGTTTGTGACGTCATGGTGCGGAATCGGCTGTTGAGCAAGTCCCAGTGCTTTATCTGGTGTTTGTCACAATGTGCTATTATCCAAGTCATCTTGAAAACATTCTTCTTCGAAATGTTTGCTACATATGACATGTTTTTTCTGTGGCCGGAAGTTCAATGGCAAATTCTGCCTCTTCCAGTTGGCAATCCAACGACGAACCCGTACATAAGGTGGCCGGGAGGTGCAAACCAACATTACAAAATCTAAAAAACTTTTACAAGTTACAAAACAAATGATCATTTCAGAAAACAAATTTACATTAAAAAAATTAATAGAACAAAAATAAACAAAACACTTTTAAAAATTCAAAACAAATAGCATTTTAAGAACACAAATAAAAAACAGTTTAACTATAGCTCTCGTGAATTTCAATGGTGAAGTCCTCTCGAAATCTTAAAAAATAGTTGTTGATTGCAGATGTGTCTATTAGTTCCCATTGATTTTGCTTGTTAAGCAGGGAGAATGATGTTTGGCTTACAGCACCGCAACGTCACTGATGGAAGATGTCAGGAGTGAGGTGTTACTATATATTTGGGCAAAAATGGCCGGTCCCAGACTCAGTGATCGTGATGAAAATTATTGTTTTTGTTTTTATTTTTTTACTGATTAATGATAAATTCATTAAAATCACCACAAAAGTAATAGTTTTAGGTATAAATAATGATCCATTGATTATTCCTTGCTGACTGGACTTTTCCTTTATGTGATAAGATTGTATGGAGCATGGCTCTCAAGAGCAATTTACTGTCAACCAAAATATTTTAGGATGTAATTCGTCTCAATGCAAAAGAGGGACCTTCCATCCATCCACAAACACACCACACCCAGAATCCTACATTCACAGCAGGATTAAACACTCTGCTTCAGGCACTTGGCTTTCAAATCTTTGTCAGGGCATGTTATGTATCATTTGTCCATTCTTGTAAAGAAAAACGATCGTAGTTTAAAACGGTTGGATTTTGCACGCAGTGTCTCTTTGGATCTTGGCCTGGAGCCGTGGCAGACAAAATAAAGCATAGTATGAAGCTTAATAAAAACGTTTCCATAACAATCTTGGATTGCTTTAAAAATTACATTGACTAGTAAAATCACTGTTTTATCCGATTCTTGTTTACTGCCTACATAAACAAACCTGGTAGCTTTACTTAAACTTCAGCAACATTAAGATTAAATATGACAACCAAACAGATGATGGAAATTGACTGCAGAGACGTTATTGAACAAATACTAAGAATGCATGTCTTTATACATCAGGAGGCTATATAGGAACCGAGACTTTTGAAAAACTTAAGGCAAACTTAAGGTATGTGATGTCAGGTTCATAAAATGTATGTTTTTGCAATAGAAGAACTGAAATACACAATTATGGATACAATTTCTGCAGAAAGGAGAGACAGTTGAACCCCAGACTCAAACACACTGTCTCCCACTGGACCCTTGTTGGTCCAGAGGCAGTTGGCAGACCGAGGGCTGAGGGCTAGCAGAGGTTGAGCTGAGTGCAGGCAGGAGGAGAACTGAGAGCTTGGCAAAGGCAGTCTGAGTGCTGACAGGCTGATTCCTGATGAGCTCTCCCTCCCTCTTGAGAGCTGGGCACAGACGTCAGAGTGCAGGCGGGCAGATTCCAGGCTTGGCTCTCTCTCTCTCTCTCTCTCTCTCTCTCTCTCTCTCTCTCTCTCTCTCTCTCTCTCTCTCTCTCTCTCTCTCTCTCTCTCTCTCTGGCCCAAGGCTGATGAGGAGATGAGAGACAGGTGTTGCAGGTGAGCACAAGCCCTCAGGAAGGGATCCTTGGCGCCCACTGGTGGGCAGGCCTCTGGATCCCAACAGACAGCAGAAGCCCTCAAGAAGGGATCCTCGGCGTCATCTGGTGGGCAAGCCTCCGGATCCCAACAATTTTCAGCTCAGCCCACAAAATTTCTATGAGACTGAGAATTAGAGCTTTGTAACTGTCAGTCCAAATAAACGGACTGTGTATGAACCAGGAAATTTGTATTTGTGCATCATTGTATGCTATAATCTGAAAAGCTGGAGATAATGTACATGCCTTTAGCTGACAGAGAAACCCACTTAGAGCAGTAATTATATAAAAATTGTAAAATAATATGTAAACATTTTGCATTTAAGATAAAAAGAAACCCTTCCTTTCATCTGTCAACCTGTTCTATCCAGAACTCTTCAAGTGGAGAAGTTTTAGTTTCAAGTGATTTAATTTCATTAAAAAATCTTCTTTAAGGATCATTTTGCTATCCGATTATTAATCAAATGATCAGAATAATAATCGACAGATTAATCGATTTACAAAATAATAAGTTGCAGCCCTAAAGCAAACCAGCTATTGGCTATAGTCTAGAAAGTTTTTGAATTAGCAAATTATGAGCTGGATTTTTTATTTGATTAAAAGTGCAAACTTTTAAAGATGAAAGGATTGTTTTACTATAAGCTTCATTTGATCTTTCAATTTTTAACAAAAGGATTGATCTATCTATAGGAGAAGCCAGTTCCTGCTTTTTTAGTTTTAAGATTTATAAACTGAATGTAGACATTTTTGCACCAAAATAATAATTATAAAACAGTTCAGCTCGGCCATACTTGTGGATTTGATACAAAAATATGGATTTTTTTTTTTTATGTAAAACATTAAGGAACTCTGTATGTCTGATTTGCCCTAATCTGCAGGTACAGTGCAGCAGAGTGCAGTGCATGGTGGTTGCATTGCTCTACAACCACTCACTATTTCTAAGGAAATATGTGGGTGGACCTGACCACCTATAGGGTTCTATGCATGCTTTTCGTTAGAACTGTTTACCCTTTAAGTTTTCTGTTTAGACTCAACATACAGTGGAAATCATTTTGAAAGTATTTTAAACATACAAATGCATTTTTAAATGTTTGTGCTAAAACTACGCAAACTTACATGAGAAATGTAGCTGTACATCTACAAAATATAGGCTACTTTGTTTCATAAAGCGCAAAAAAATATATTTTTGTTTTTAAAAGCCCCTAAGGGGTTCAAACAATAGGTCCCCCCATTTCAACAAATGAGTTTTTTTTTTACTAGAAGAGTTCTGCCTTTTAAGGCAGGAAAGTATAGCAGTTAAAGTTGCTACTTGAGAAAATACTTAACCATTGAGATAAAAATAGCCCTGTGATTCAAATTATAAATTGTATTTGGAATAAAAATGAGAGAACTAGGGGTGGTAAAAAACACATCCTCCAAAGACAGATATTTACATGGGAATGTGGCATATAATTAATTGACAAATTACTGATCTTGCAGGATTTTATTCTGCTTTACTTCCATAAATTGCAGGATCTTCTTTACTTTATCTTTGCCAGAAGATTTGAACTTTAAAAGCCTTGCCCTCATAATTTGCAAGTTAATTTATTTATAAAGAAAATATAAACGCTGCTTAAGCTAATTCAAATGAAATTAAAAGTAAAATAAGTAGCCAACCTTATCACTGTCTGTAACCTAATAACAAGGTAAGGAAAGCATCAGATGAGCTACCTGAGAAACGTTACGTTTCCCCACTTTAGAACGAAACAAACATGGTCGCTCACCCTGCTGATCAGCTCTCTTCACCATAGATATCCATAATAAAGGCTAGATGTCTTACGGCGGAGTCTCAAACGTCATCACCGGCGGCCATCTTGCCTCAGGCAGGCTTTCTGGTGTGCTCTGTGGTACCTAATGTAAGGTGAGTGATCAGCACGAACACAAATACTCTTACCTCACTGAATTCTTGACGGATTTACAAACAGATTGGTTTCTTACAAACATTATGAACGTGGCTATTATTCTTGATGCTTGAACATGCCGAAATTTCAGATTTTCTTGTCGAAAAATTAATCGCGCAGCATAGTTGTGCATCACGGCTACTTGCGCAAGTTATCAAGGCTGAGACTATTAGTCAATTACATAGGTTTTACTGACACCAATAACGATTGTATGACAATTAATCTTTGGTGTAAATTACAATCTTTGTGGATGTGGTTGTAGGTATTAGTTGGCTAATAACAATAATCTGAGTGTTGTTGTATTTTCATTATTAGCCTAACGTTAGCTGGCTAATAACAAGAAGCTGCGAAGTGAGACCTAAGTTTAGTAAGTTACCAGCTAACGTTACAGTTTAGCTAGCTGCTAACGTTAACCAGCAACTTTAGATCAGTGGAAGAGGCAGAATTTAACATGATTTCCAATCGATTTGGTCTGTCAACACATCTTACATTATGTAACAGGAATTTGCTGGGTTTATTAAAAGGAAGATGCCAGACTTTTGATATGACATAATAGTATTACAAGATTGTTGTTGACTCAAAGCTTTTATAAGTTTGTATTAGTTTCATTTGGACAACTTAAAGATGATGTTTTATATATATATATATATATAAATATGCATATATATACATATACATATTTATATATATACATACATATATATATATATATATATATATATATATATATATATATATATATATATATATATATATATATATAAATATGCATATATATATATACATATGTAATATAAATATATAAATATGTATATATATATAAATATATATATAAATATATATATATATATAAATATATATATATATATATATAGTATTCAGTACACTGAGTTTTAATAATAATTCATATATTGATTTAACATAAATACCTTGTGCATGTGTATATTTATTGCACCTGTATGTTCTATTCAATGTTCTTTTCATATGAAATTCCATGGTTATTATTCATAAGTGTGCAGTGTCATAACTACATGTCTGACTTTTGTCTGACTTTTGTTTAACAAACCAAACAGTTTGAGAATCGTTAGACAATTGAGGAAGTTATGGTTATTTAAGTACATGCGCCTTTAAAACACAATTGCTCTGTTCGAAAACCTAGGACGCATCCTTAGAAGACCGGATTCCAAGGCCGATTACGTCATAGCGCGGCGCCGAGGTCTGGTCGGATTCCAAGAGTCCTCGTTATGCGGCCTTAAAATGCGTCCTTCGTTTTGCCCAATTTGAAGGACGGGTCCGATGTATCCTCGGTATTCTTGGATATCCCAGGATTCATTGCGAGACCAAGCAAGCCGTGATCAGAGGAAAGGTTACTTGGCGCCGAACAGTGGTGAAAATTGGAAGTTCAGTTTAATGTAATACAACTCTGTGAATAGTTCCGTCTGAAATGAATGAAAATAGTTGTTTTAATGGTTATTGAGTCAGATATGTGGCGGTAATGTTTGGTTTATCTAAAGGTTTTAATCTGTTACTGTGTAAATGGGTTTGGCTGGAATTTAAGGACAGATTCTAATATATTTGCAGGGTGGGGACTATAAATCTGATAGGATTTTTATCTTTTTATTGCTATTTTGCACAATATGCTTAACTTCCTATTTTTTGTTGTTGAATATTAGAGATTTTGCAAATATATTTTTATACACATATTGTTTAGATTTACTTATATCTTTCTACCCCTTTTATAGAATAGAATAGAAAATCTCTATATTTTCCCACAATGGGCAAATTTACAGCAGCAGAAAGATTATTGAAAATGGTCACACAAATGTGGACCTTAGAAAAATGTATAAGAATAACATAATAGGGAAGAGTTAAAATATAAACAATAAAATACTGTAAAGTGTTTTAACAATATAAAACTGGGGAATTGTTGGGAGCTGGAGTAGTACCATCTTTCTCCAGCAGAGTCCGCCGTGGATCCTCCTGAGCAGAGCCTCCTGCACAGCTGCTGCTCATTACCATCATCAGAGGATCCACTATATAAGCTGTCTTCAGACCTTGCCTCAACGCCGCAGCGTTGTTCCAGTTGGTCAGCGTTAAAGCCTAGATCTTTGTTGTATCTCTATGACTTTGAATCCAGGTTGGATTCTAACCTCTGTCTCTGTGTTTCCAGAAAACCCGTGCCTCCTCTGTGAAAGCTCAGGAAGAGCTAACCTGCCGAACCGACCCTCAGAGCCAAACCCTACAGATCCTCAGAGAACCTCCAAGCAGCTCTGGACTAGAGCTGGGAAACCAAGGCCAAGGTCTGAACGTGAGACGTCCTAGGTTTTCGAACAGAGCCAATGTTACGAATGAGCGAGCTGCCTGTGGCAAGATGGCCGCCACGTGCGGACGTCGACCCCCATGGGCCAGCAGCGCGGACGAGACATCTAGGCTCTGTTCGAAAACCTATGACGTGTCCTCCAAGGACGCGGTCTACCTAGACTGGATCCTTCGAAGTCCTTGAAAATAAGGAGACCGGAAGAGTTTAGGCTTTGAATTCGACCAGGTCTACCCTTCGGCGGGTTTTACCGCCGTATGCTCTGTTGCTTAGCAACTGTAAACTTTGACACACAAAGCAGGAAAAGAATGAATACAGAAGTTTTCAAAACTGTTTATTTATTTCTTTTTTATTGTGAAGTGAACAAAGACTACACTCACAAGAATCCAGAATGGAATAAATGTTCCAACAGCCGGGAGCAGGAACAAATAAAATCAAATGTAATGATAGAAACCTTAGTCAGTTAAATAACCTGCTGCTGTCATTCTGCACGTCTCTGATGTTGCTGCTATTTTCAAATATCCATGACTGTAAAAATGTCCATAGCTGCATATTGGTTATTTATTCCCCAGTTTTATATTGTTAAAACACTATACAGTATTTTATTGTTTATATTTTAACTCTTCCCTATTATGTTATTCTTATACATTTTTCTAAGGTCTACATTTGTGTGACCATTTTCAATAATCTTTCTGCTGCTGTAAATTTGTCCATTGTGGGACAATAAAGGGATTTTCTATTCTATTCTATTCTATTCTATAAAAGGGGTAGAAAGATATAAGTAAATCTAAACAATGTATTTATAAAAAAATATATCTGCAAAATCTCTAATATTCAACAACAAAAAATACGTAGTTAAGCATATTGTGCAAAACAGCAATAAAAAGATAAAAATCCTATCAGATTTATAGTCCCCACCCTGCAGATATATTAGAATCTGTCCTTTAATTCCAGCCAAACCCATTTACACAGTAACAGATTAAAACCTTTAGATAAATCAAACATTACCGCCACATATCTGACTCAATAACCATTAAAACAACTATTTTTCATTAATCTCAGACGGAACTATTAAATGACTTGTATTATATTAAACTGAACTTCCAATTTTCACCACTGTTCGGCGCCAAGTAACCTTTCCTCTGATCACAGCTTGCCTGGTCTCGCAATGAATCCTGGGATATCCAAGAATACCGAGGATACATCAGATCCGTCCTTCAAATCGGGCAAAAAGAAGGACGCATTTTAAGGCCGCATAACGAGGACTCTTGGAATCCGACCAGACCTCGGCGCCACGCTATGACGTAATCGGCCTTCGAATCCGGTCTTCTAAGGATGCGTCCTAGGTTTTCGAACAGAGCCCTAGCCTTTATTATGGATATGCTCTTCACTGCCATTGAAGGCTCCAACGTGTTTCCTTTTCAGGTGCTGCGTCATAACAGTGGTGCTTCCGCGCCATGTTAATTTGTTTTTACAAAAAGTTGCCTGTTACGACGTTTTTCGATTTACAAAGTGCAGGCTATTTTAATTATTGTGATCAATTTGCGCCGTCAATCCCGGCGCATGCGCGCTACATTTGCAGTCTGGACGCTGAGGGTAAACATCCTCTGACTGCAGCGCTGAGAGGGACTCCTGCGGGAGCGGGGTTGGGATGGGGGAGGCGCCCCACGGCAATGACGACGGCGGCGGATGACGCATTAATCGCGCGACACAACTAATCGATGATGAAATTTGTTGCCAACGCTTTTAAAAGTCAATTTTTATCGATTCGTTGTTGCAGCCCTTATATATATATATATATATATATATATATATATATATATATATATATATATATATATATATATATATATATATATATATATATATATATATACACTACCGTTCAAAAGTTTGGGGTCACATTAAAATGTTGTAGGCAAACAGGCTCTAACCAGAGTAGAAAAAGAAGTGGGAGGCCGCATTGCACAACTGAGCAAGAAGATAAGCACATTAGAGTCTCTAGTTTGAGAAACAGACGACTCACAGGTCCCCAACTGGTATCTTCATTAAATAGTACCCGCAGTAGCCTGTTTGTGCTGTCCTCTGAAGGGAGTAGTACACACCGTTGTAGGAAATCTTCAATTTCTTAGCAATTTCTTGCATGTATTAGCCTTCATTTCTAAGAACAAGAATAGACTGTCGAGTTTAAAATGAAAGTTCTCTTTTTCTGGCCATTTTGAGTGTTTAATTGACCCCACAAATATGATGCCCCAGAAACTCAATCTGCTCAAAGGAAGGTAAGTTTTTTATGTGACCCCAAACTTTTGAACGGTAGTGTATGTATATATATATATATATAAATATATATATATATATATACACCTGTGATACCCGTGAGAGTCTTGTATCAGTGTTTTCTGATTGTTTATTTCTAATCTGTAATCTGGGTGATTAGTTACATTATAATTTACATATTACATAGTTATTTACATGTGTGTACCGGTAATCTTTTACAGACTAAGCTTTTATTAGTCTGTAGGCTACGGAGGGACGAAGAAGGTGAGAGCGGAAAAAGGACTGGGGTAAATGTTTTTTTTTTTTTAACCAGGGGCTACATATATGTGTGTGGGAGGGGTGGGAGATGCGTGAGTGTGTATATGTTTTTCTTGCATGTGGCTATTGTGGGCTGAAAGCAATAAGGTCTACCACCGCAGAATGTGAAGCGCATGTTCACCCATCTTTTCTACAAAGGATGTCACACGATACTAACCCTAATGCTAACACAAATGTGATGCAGAAAAGTTTTTATTGTATGTACTTCTTTATATGATGAATAAAGAAAATCTTGGTAAATGTACCTTATTTTTGCATTGTTAATGTTGATTATGTATATATATATATATATATATATATATATATATATATATATATATATATATATATATATATATATATATATATATATATATATATATACATATATATATATATATGTTGCTTTCCCTCCATGTCCTTCTTCTCTAAAATGCTACATTCACGCCCACCAGTCCTGCCCAATAGTTCCAAAGAAACGTTTTTGTACATTTCAGTAGACTTCCTTGAAAGTGAGGCCTTTGGGCACGTAAAAGCATTTAAAAAGCTCAGGTGTTGTTCTCACCCTTCAGTTTGCAACGGCTGCAGAAAACGCAACAACATTCTTGTGCTGTGTTGAGCCACTGGATTTAAGGTAGGCTTTTCTCAACAAGCCAAGGGATTGCTTTTCACTGACATGGTACCTTCTCAATGCCTCTCCTTTTCTTCTTATTTCACAGGACATGTTGCTGTTGATTTTGATGCTTTGTGTTCCTTCCTGTGAGTAAAACAATAGTCTTTACGAGATGTAGTGTTTAACGGTGTATGTAATAAAGTGAATTAAGGATTAAAAAGTTTACTGAAAAATATTTTTTTATAATTCCAAAAGTGTAAAAAATGAAATATTAAATTGAAAACTTTCTGCAACATAGTTGACTTATCGTGGTTTTAGGTAGTTGTCTGACCCCTATTCTGAACACTGAGGAACAGAGCAATTTTATGAGATTTATCTACAAATGATAACTATGGGTTAGTGACAGAGTTGTTGATACGGCCAAGGGAACAGGAGCGGCAGGAACTCTACAAAGGAAAGGTAATTAGAATCTGGCTGAATATGGAAAGCTTGGGATTCTACTTGTTTTAGAGAGAGAGCTGAGAGGTTTTACTAGGATGTTGAGGTGAATCCACCGGGGAGGTTTCTGATGGGATCCAGGAGCTCACTGAGTAAGTAATGAAATGCTGTTAAGCATTGCAAGTAGCCGGATGATACAGCAGACAATGCTTGAAAGGAGACAGAGGGAAAAAAAGATCGAAACAACTATTTATGGCTTTCTATGGAGCAGTGTTAGCGACATCTCCTAGGAGAAATTTTTGTGTGAAGTTTCATAGTCAACTGACCTGTAACGGTATTAGATGTTTGTATTCACCCAAATACTTAATTATTCCAAAATCTTGTGCTTCCACTGTACACTATGTCTATTCTGTCCATGTTTTTTTTTTTTATTATTTGTTTTGTTCTGCGCTGTCAGTACAGTATGACATCTTATTAATTCCAATATGAGTCACTTCTTAAAGTCAGATTCCAAAAGATCTGAGCTGTATCGGATTTAAAACCACATAGAAACCCAGGTTGGATTTGAAAAAGTCATATTTCATGTGACTTGGCCTGTTCACGCAGTCAGGAAAGAATCTCACCTGAGTCCCTTCAGGGGAAAAAAAAATAAAAAAATCAGATTTGGGCCACATTTGTCTGCAGTGTAAACATAGCCTTATATTCTGACCAAAGGCAGCTGATTACTAGGGGTCTCCAGAGTCTTAAATTAAAGGACATATTCTAAGTCCTGACTGAATTAGGTCATTAATTTATAGTTATACACTAATGAGCAGTTTAGTTTTAATAAACTATCAATAAATTGGCACATAACAAATTAATTATTTCTAGTAACGGATAAATTGAAGATTTTATCACATTTACCATAGATGACAATGAAGTAAAGCCAGTAAATCAAGTTAAATTCTTAAGGGTGGTTTTGGACAAACTTAACTTAAACTCCATTAAATTGTGAGACAAACAAAAAAACAAAAAATGTAATAGTATTGGACTTTTAAACAAAGTAAAAAACATTTTAGAGCTGATAAAACTCTGGATGCTATATTCCTCTTTTCTTTTCCCAAGTTTCACTAATTGTATAGACATATGGGGCAACAGATATGAAGCTAACATCAAACCACTGTTTGTGACACAAAAGAAAGCTATGAGAATTTTATACATGTAAATTAGAAAGCATACTAAAAAAACTCTTTGTCGACTCATATCTTCTAATAGACTTGGCTAATTCAAAAATGCTATTACGGTAGTTATGTTTAGAGCTAGTGAGAGATTACTGCTAAATAATTTACGAAAAAGTTCTTGGTCCTAAATTCAAGTCATAGAAATAACTGGAGGAAGTATGATTTCAAAAGTAAACCTGTGTGTACTCCCTTAAAGAAAATATGCATTTCAGTGCATTAAGTAAAATTATTGAACAACTTAGATGAGGTTTTAAAAAATGCAGAACCAAAAATCTATTCAGATGACTTTACAAGGAAAACATTATTGTACCTCATACACAGCTGAGTGAATAATAAGGATAATTTTATGTTGTTTTTAACTTAATTTTTTATGAATTTTCAAAATTTTTTTAAAAGATCCATCTTCTCCACTTTTAAAAATATGCACGTATGAGAGCATGCATGAGCTAATTTCTCTTCGTGCATGCACTGTTTAAAACCTACTGTTCTCATAGCTCATACAAACTAACTGTACCCAAACATCAGCCCTAACCCCGAAAATCCCCCAATCACTATATAGAGCGGGGACTACATAGTGAACTTACTGTAGTGACTTTGTTAAACCTGCTTCTTGAAACGGACCCTGAGAGACGACAACTTTTTTTGGAACTAATGAAAGGGGGGGGGGGGGGGGGGGGGGGGGTCTACAAGATTTGTCTTCTTTCTGCTCCTTTTCAATTCTGGATACTATGTGTTGAACAGAATTTAATTAATGATGCAATTGTTAAATTGATTGAACTCAATTTGGTCGTTTGGTCTAAAAAAATCATTGTTTGCACTAATCCTGAATGACTGGGGCTAATTAGGAAGAATGGCCATCCTACAAATGTTAGTAGATCAATTTCAGCTTCCTGTTACATGTCCCTGTGGCCCTTACCACTTATCTCCAGGTTGTTGATTAATCTGCATATTGATGTATGCGTCATTTTATAGGCTACATATTTTTTCTCTGTTGTGAATTTAGTGCTTGTTATTTAAACCGTTTTCTGTTCAATGTAGGCACTACACTTGAAAAATCAAGTTGCAAAGGCGGAACTATTCAATTGGAAGGTGGAAGAAATGTGACAAAAGAAGGGAATCTGATTTTCATTTCAACTGAAGGACAAAGAAAAACGTTAATGTATAAAGGCAAGGTAATATATTTTTGTTTTTTTCAGCGATGTTATGTTCGGTTTTAGAAAAGAAGATTTTTAAATTTAAAACTTCTCTTCATTAAAAAAAAGGAAATAAAATTGTTGTGTTATCTAACTTTTAGCTTTGTTATTTTATCTTCTCTGTTTCACTATAGATAAGCTGATTTTCATCATAGAGCTAGACAAAAACTGTTTATAGTTTTGTTTTTTCTTACATTTCAAACTTATATTGTGTTGTTTTGTTATACGAGAGCCTGAATCAATTTCTGAGAAAAAAAAAAAACAAGAGCTTGTGAGAATTAATTGTGATATTTCATAGTAGATGTTCTATCTAGAAACTATTTTTGCAGATATTTAGCTGTGTTTATGTAAACTACTTAGGATGGAAAACTGTTCTTTCACTAAAATTCTGATTTTATTCCACATCTTACCACAGCTTAGGTTGTAGGACTGTCTCTATGGCATCCCGCTTAGATTATTTCTCTTCACCTCCATCTTGATGGTACAAGTGGTTCAGTTGGAGTACTTACTACTTTTTGTTTGAGTAAATTAAAAAAAAAATCTTTATAGTGATATTTAAAATTTTCTGTACATTTAATGTGTAGCTCCTGCTGTTATTTATATTATGAAATAATTGTTCTAGAATCTAGCATGTCTGTATAATATTTCACTTGTGTTTAACATTTTTCAGGCTACAGACCCACGTATCACAGTTTCGTACAGCAAAGTACTTCTTAAAGGATTGCAAAAAGAAGATGAAGGAAAATATCAATTTACATCTCTCAGAGGGCTTGTAAACCAGTATGAGGTAAAAGTAATAGGTAAGAACTACTCTCATGATAAATAACTGAACATGCAATGTGATTGACTTTGTGTTTCATCTTTCTTATAATTACCCTTACAACCAGAAAAGTTGTTAGAAAAAAAGTAGAATTTATGAATATATTGTTTATGATTTGATTGATATTTTCTTACAAACTATGCAAACTATTTTCTTACAAACTATAATACATCTACTTGCACTTTTTTCACCAGATAATTTTAATGTTTTAATTAATTTTTTCTGATACTGTAAATGTCTAATAAATTTGGTTATCTTTCCCACTAAAAAGGGATTGAATGCTTAAGAGAATTGAATTTAATCATTGGCCTCAGAATTTGGACATTTTTATTTGTCACAAAACAAGCTGGTATTTCTAATATCTTAAGGAAACGATTCATTGTACAGCTCATACAATTTCACTTTTTCCCTGCTTTTGTATTTATTTATGTTGGGTTGATGGGTGGAGTTCAGACGCTTTACTATGTGTTAAGATATTCTAGCTAATTTAACACTTAAATAATCCTCTTTAAATGAAAGTTAAAATTATTTCATTTAAAATGTTAAAAAAATCATATTCTCTCAATCAACAGGATTTACACATAAATTCACTTTTTGTTTTATTGTGTTATTTCAGAATGTATTACAAAGAAGTATATGGAGAGTGTTTCCCTTGGGGTTCCTGAAAGAGCTCAGTACCTGTATTTTAAGGGTTCGACTGAAAAACTGGAAAAACTCTGGGATCGTACAAAAAGTCAAAACACTGATAAAAGAGTGATTGTGAAGAACAATGTCTGGAAAATGGTCAATCTCACTAAGGCAGACGAAGGATTCTACTTGTTTGTTCGTGAAGACAAAAAAGTTGAGCTAACGATAAAGCTATCTATAAAAGGTACATTTTTAAATCTGTTTTAAGCTGCATGTGGAATTTTCTATCTATTATCTTGTAGAAATTAAATATACATCTATGTCTAATCTACCAAACACAGAAGAAACCCAGGATTATAAACTGAAAGTGAATGAGAGCCTCTTCATTAAATTTCCTGAGCGTGGAGGACCTTGGGATGTGGTGTTCAAGTCAAAAAATAAACAACAGAGGGTGATGATCAAAAATCAACTAGTTTTGGAAGGCACTGGATTCGAGGGGAGAATTACTATTCAGAATAATAGCATTGAAATTAAATCAGTGACAGCAGAAGATTCTGGAACGTTTAACTTCTATGACCAACAAGGCAACCTGGCAATGTCTGTTAAGCTGGATGTTGACTCTGGTGAGTAAAACAGCATTTCTGATTTATATTTAAAAGTTTACAGAGGATTTAACCATAACTTTCCTTCCTATATATTTTTAATAGGATCTAATCACCTAGCTGCTTATATTGTTGTTCCGTTGGTCCTTCTGGTGGTTTGTGTGGGTGGTGGTTCTGCTGCAAAAAAAGGTAAATCAAAACCTAGCGAGGAAGCTTCTGTCTCTCCCGATGTAAGTATAAGGTGGATGCTTAATTAAGATCACTTTATATCTGTGCAAGAAACAAAAATCCCAACAAATATTAACCAACACCCTTTCCCACTATAATTTCAGGAGTTGACACTTGCTTTACACAAACCTAGGTTATATCTAAAATATAATATAATTTGACAGCAATTTTTTTTGGTAATATGTCCTTGAGGATAACTAAAATGCTTATGGGCAAGATCAGTTGTATAATAATGGAAAAGCAAGGCAAGTCTATTCACAAAACGCTCTTTATGATGGGTCCTTTTCTGATGATTCCAACTGAGTCCTGTTAGAAAACCTGTGTGCTTAATTTTTGGTGGTTAGTTTATTTCTTCACTGCTGGGTTTTGACCCCACTGGAGCTCAATGGAACGTCCACATTTTTAGAAACATGTCTTAAATCAAAGGCATCACATTTCACAAGACCATGAGTCTTTAAAGAGATTTTTTAAAAACCATTGTGATGCAGTTCTTTCTGCATAAATTGATTAGAAATATTTCCTTGTGCCATGAGTAAATCCTTAATACCAACAGATCTGAACCATTTCCTTGGTTGTTTCCTTTATTTCCTATCTGTGCCTTTTAGGAACCTATTTTATTTTATTCATTTATTCCCTTTGGTCCCTTGTTGCTATACATACAGTTTTTGTTCTAATTTGTTTAGGTCTTTTCCTTGTTTAGAAATTGCCAATAAAAAGTGGAATTCTCAGGAAGAAGATGTAAAAGTACATTTTCGTACAAAAAAATGCATTCAATTGTTATTTTACCTGTTTAAAATAACTTTTCTTTTTTTTTTTTTTTTTTTTTTTCTTTTTTTTTTTTATCGCCACCCTACTTTTGGTCTGATTTTTTTTACATTAGATATCTTTTTCCCTGCAGCCTAACACTGTGCATGCTTCACCGCCTGATACCAACATGTATCCCCTGCTCCATCAGGTAAACATTTACAGGTTTTTAAAACACTTTAGAGGTAGTATTGGCTTTTTTTGCTTTAACTCTTACTAATTTTTCTTTCCCACCACTTGCTGCAGGTTCCGCCTCCAGAAACTTCTACGTCTATGCACTACAAGATGTAGTTTTCACCTCTGGATGCTGAGCCACTGACTGATCATGCAAAAACATAGAAAAAAGGGATTTAAAGTTCTGAATAACCCAATTTTGTTGCAAGCTTTATCAAGAGATTAGTTGAATGTTGTTTTCAGAAGTGTGTGTGTGGGCGGGGGTGGGGGGGCCGCAGTTTTTTTTTAAATATAACTAACTTCAGCGTGTGTGACCATCCAGTCACAGACCCGATTCAGTGGCGCATCAGATGTTTGTAAACTGAGCTTCTTTTAGGAGGGAAAGCAATGACAGCCAATCACACAACAGTAGACAGTGGGCTTGTGTGCGGTCTAAACTCAGGAAAGCATGCTTCCGCTAGAGCTGTGGTTTTTCGCTTGGCCATATTGCTCAACGAATGTCTGTGTACTGTAATGTAAAATTGTTTTTAGACAGTAAAACATAGAGGACCCAAATGGACGTTTGAAAAAGTGCAGGGTTACAAACACAATACCTCATCACTAGATCTACCTAAAGCCTTATGTGGAAACCCAAGGAACAGGCTTGGAGAGGTTTTAACATGGATCTTAAAGGTGGACCTGAAGTCCAGAAGCTCTAGGCATTCAAAATTGTTGCAGATAAGAGTATGGTGATGAGCTCCAAGGAGTCAAAATGATTAGAAATGCCTACTGTAATAAGTGCATTAGATATTAATTTGTTTAAGTATATTTATGCAATTGTACCTGTAGACACTTCTGAAGATTATTATGAACTTTTCTCAGACATGTATATAGATGAATACAGAATGTATTATTAATTTCTCATGGATCTTTAGCTTTTTAAGAGGGATTGTTGCTATTATTTTGTTTGACGGTTGTTTTACCTTACCTTTTTATCTTTTCTTATTCATATACCCATTTATATACCCATGTGTTCAAGCAATGCAAGCCACTTTTCTTTGTGATGTTATATAGCTCTACTGTGTTTTGGTTTGTTTCTTATTTGGTTTATAGACAAAAACATCTGCTTTACTTAATAATTTTCAAAACATTTTACCTTTACATCTTTTTGTAACATTTAAATGTAACATTGACTGATGTAACATGAATTGAAAGATAAAAATGTGACATATTTAGTAAAGGCAAGATTAGAAAGATTGCTTGTATTTTATTTGAAGTGCTAAGCTGTTTGATTATTGTGGTTTTGTACTTCTTAACAGTTCTCAATATAAAACTTTCTTAAATGACTTGTTATTTTTGACCAACTCTACCTATTTGTGGACTCTCCTGAAGAATGAAACCTTAATCTTTTAGACTACAAGTAACACAAAGAAGGCATTTAAACCTAAGCAGGTAATTAAGATGTTGCCCTTTTGACTGCATATTTTGGGATTTCTTTGATTTAACAGCTATAGATTCTCATATGCCAATAATAAGGGATATATTTCAAACAAGAAATTAATTTAGTACTTAGTGGGAAACAACAATTAGGTTCAAGTTGAAGAACTGATTGATTCGCATCTCATCCAGCGATCTAGTTTGCTGATCTTTGCACAAGACCAATTAAGATGCTCAGTGATTAATTAGTGAGCAAAAATAAATAACTTGCAGGATGATTACATTTCCGTTTTATTGTCGGTTACACTGAGGTAACTGGTTTTGGAAAGAGACAGAGTTGTTTTTGATCTTAACAATTAGTTGGAATGAATTGCAGAAAACTTTAAGAAAATCTGGAGACATGTTCATTCACTCTGAAACAATTATAATCTTCTAATGACCAAGGTATTGGACTAAATAATTGTTTTAAACAATATAAATGATTTCAGTAACATACCATGCACCTTACAAAATGTGATTTGATATAATTTTATTGCGCTAAAACTGTACAATTTGAAATGAACAACTAACAGCAGCACCCCCCCCCCCCCCTTCTCCATTCATACCCAGGGCAGCTGTTTCCCTCGATAAAATATTATTCCTGATTAAATGAAGTATACTTAGACTTCTTAATTAGAAGTAGACTCCCATCTGGCGATAAACAAAAATTGCCGTATTACTATTCTTAAAGTTTTGTTAGGAGCTGGGTCTATAATGATGACTTCACCATAATATTGCTGCGAAGCTCATTATATTTGCAATACAAACAACCATGATATGCTTGTTCCTTTATATCCACCTGGTGAAACATTCTTCCAATGGTGCCATTACAACTGCAACCTCCAGAGCATAATGTTAGCTTCGCATGAACAGACTGCCAACATAAACAACCCCCTTAACACAAAACTAGGAATTGAACATTGATGTTTTCCCTATCTAGACATTACCCAGGAGCCGTTGCCTCTAATCCAGCCTCACAGAAAATTACAACTGCCTGAGTCATGCAGTCATTCAGTGAGCGGGGTAAAAAGAAAATCAAGCTTGGACTGAATGAAACACATTATGACCTTGTCATGATGGGTGAAGATTCTAGCCCATATGCAGAACACACTCAGGAGGCAGGGAAAAAGTTCAATTGATTTATTTATGGTTAGAACAAAGCAGGTCAGGATGTATTCAGGTCCAGGGCTGGTCTCGGCTGGATTGCTGACCTGAAGCTGAGCAGAGCAGCCGAGGGGAATAATCCAAGGAGGATCCAGAGGTTGGTGACAGACTGAGTGCTCGAAGGCGGTTGGGCTTGGCTGAGGCTTGATGATCTCCAGATGTGAGTTCAGTAGCAGACGGCAGGCTGAGGTCTGAGGCTTGAACTGAGCAGGCCGAAGGGGGGAACCAGGAAGGTTAGAGACAGACGGCAGGCTGAAGGCTGAGACTTGAGCTGAGCTGGCAGCAGGAGGGAACCAGGAGGGTTCAGAGGCAGACGTCAGGCTGAGGGGCAGAGGCTTGGTTCTCCAGGGTTGGGTTCAGTCAGATTTCTTCCTAAGAAGCGGAGAAGACAAAACTGGTTAAGTTCAAGGTTCTGGTTTCAGGGGAGTAAGAGAATCAGACAGGCTGGTAGGCTCAGGGTTTGCTGTACCGTGGCTAACTAACACTCTGGCGTCGAGGTGTTGTCCACAACCCACATAAGTACTGGTCCCCTGATGAGCAGATGAGAATCAGCTGGTGAAGGCAGCTCCAGGTTCAGGAGATCCAGGAGCTCTCTGGTGGAGGAAAGTAGACAGCACCCCAGACCCCAACAGAAAAAGAAATAAACAGGAAGGGATCATCGGCGCCCTCTGGAGGGCAAGCCTCTGGATCCCAACAGACCTATTATGTCGGCCTACAGTTCAGAATCCATGTTTATCTGAATGAACACTTATCAACCACAATAATACATCTTAACTTTATTTTATTTTTATCCTTGTCTTATTTTATATTCTATAAAACTATAAAAGAATATATTTCATATTCTTCTTCTTATATCTATTTTCTACTTACAATCTTATTTTTCTCTGTTCTGTAAATGGTTGCACTGCAAGAAAAAAAAATTATGATTCTGATTCAAGAAGCCATTTCAAATTAGCCATTTTAATCTAGATTAATCTAGATTAATTCCAAGATTACAGTGAGATAATCTAGATTCAAAAAATGTATCTATGCCCACCACTAATATATTTTTCAAACCTTTAATTGCTATCATGCCGATAACAACCATAATCTTTTTTGTTTGGCAGCTGAGACCATACCTGCTATGGGCTTGTCTTATTACACTGTTTCCTACCATCTTCAATGCTTATTTTTATTATTTTTTTTTTTTTTATTAGGAAACCCTACTACAAGACGATGGAGGCAGCAAGTGGGTATGACATCAAAAAATTAAAAGAGACTTTCCCTTCCTCAAGTCATCTCCAGGCTTCCATATCCAATAGAAGGTTGCATAAGAGCAGTGGAAATCCTTCATCTGATCACCTGGATCCAGATAAGAATGATTAGCTGAGGGAACCATTGGTGATCCCTTTCACCTTACATGATAATTATAAGGGATTTCTCAAAGAAATGATGGACAATATGCAAATGCAGATCAATTCTGTGTGTTCCCTGGCTTTCCTGTTGGATGCTCTCCATGCCTGGTGTTCCTTCTGATCCCCTCTGGGTTCAGTTTACCAATAACAAAATAAAAATCATAGTTCACCAAACTGTCTCCATCATGTTATCTGCAATTCCTGAGTACTTGTGTACTTAGTTCTTAAGATACAGAGTTTCTCTGGTACAATCTCCCTTATATACACTGTTGTATGTAAGGGAGATTGTACCAGAGAAACACTGTATTATATACAGTATATAAGCGCGTGTCAACCCAACAAGCAGCTGACACTGGGGGACTTGACTCAGGAGAATCTGTCAAACACTCAAAGCTACACTGTTCTAAAATGCATTTTTGTACTTGAATGTCTTTGTTTCATATTTATGCTGTAGTTATTATTTGTAGGTTTGACTTTGTTGCATAGTTTTTTTGTTTGTCTGTAATTTGTCCCTCCCTTCCGTGTTGTTTGTAGGCTAGTCTACATGTTTAGATACCCCTGTGTTCATTGTGAGATATCAGTTCTGGTTTGTTATCCTTGGTTAGATTTGTCTTAGTTGATATCTTCTTTTGGGCCAATTTTTTTCTGAATTTTGAGTCTTGTTTGTTAGTACAATGAAAGAATAAATGGATGATATTTTTTCTATGCCTTTGTCTATTTTGGCTATTGGAGGCTGGAAGCAATCAGGGCTATCACTACAGAATGTAAATCACATGTTCATACTCACCTTATCTACAAAGGTTGTTACATGATACTAACCCTATAATTACGGTAACACAAATGTGACACAAAAACTATTTTCAATTGTATTGGGCTTATAAATGCATTCTAGATGTTGATTTTGTATGTATGCTTTTCTTGCATGTCCTTCTTCCATAGTTCAAAGCTATAACATACAGTCCCACCCACTAGTTCCACAGAAACATTTTTTTTAGAGATCTGCACATTTGCTGGAAATGAGGCCCTTTCTGGGGGTAATGATCTCAGGAGTTGATCTTATTTCTCCGTTTGCAACCACTGCAGAAAAGAACAAAACCTTCTTGTGCTGTGTTGAGCCACTGCTTATAACGTAAGACTTTGCTTAAAAATCCAATGGCTTCCTTTTACCTGAAATGATTCCTTCTCAATGTCTCTCCTTTTGTTCTTATTTCACAGGCCATGTTGCTGTTGGTTTTGGTGCTTTTTGTTCATTCCTGTGGTGAGTAAAACAGTTATCTGTACAAAATGTAGTATTTAAAGGTGTATGTAAAACCTAAATAATAAATTGAAATCTTACTGCAACATAGATGACTTATCAGGGTTTTAGGTAGTTCTCTGACCCCTATTCTGAACACTGAGGAGCAGAGCAATTTGAGATTCATCTACAAATGACAACTATGAAATGACAGAGTTGTTGATACGGCCAAGGGAACAGAAGCGGCAGGAACTCTGCAAAGGAAAGGTAGTTAGAATCTGGCTAAACATGGAAAGATTGAGATTCTGCTTATTTGAGGGAGAGAGTTGAGAGGTTTTACTAGGAGTCTGAGGTGAATCCAACAGGGAGGTTTCTGATGGGATCCAGGAGCTCACTGAGTGACTAATGTTAGGATTATTATTATCAATAATGTGTGAGTCTTTTAGACCCTAATATCACCTGCCTGTTGTGTGTCTAAAGCTTCCCCAAGTAGTTTGGAAAGTTCATCCGTCCGGCTATATGGTTATCATCTTTATTAAGTTTGTGGCAAAGATTTGGGAATGGAATGAGAGCCTTGTCCTTGATCTAATAACAAAGTGTAATATTTTGATATGGCTGGAGCCATGGATGTTTCCTCGTCTGCAAATATGTATGATGTGATGATGTGGCAAACTGGAGTTGTATAAAAGGCTTCTCTAACTGTTAATCGTGGCCACTTAAAGAGATGTGAGCCCGGTTGGTAAGCAGTTGCCTTCTTTAACTCAAAGCAACTTCTCTGATCTGAGTAAGATTTCAATTTCTATCAAAATCTATTGTCTTGTCTCATGGTTATTTAATACATTTATATTATGAAGTGTTATAAAAGTTATAAGTATTAAAGAGTTTGTCCTGAGCACTCTCTTTTCATCCTTCAAGATGTAAACACATAGCTTTCCATAACAGTAATTAAATCCGAGGTGGTTGAGACTGAGGTTGATGATGATAGTCTGAGGAGCACAGAGGAGAGTGGAGTCTTACAGAGATGTCAGTAAAGGACTCATCAGCTGCCAGCCAGTTAATGCACCAGTTTACACGTGGCGTTTGAGGATAGTTGCAGTTGGAAGAAGGTCTGTTCTAGAGCAGAATCCAGTAGAGCTTCAAAAAAATCCTGAGAGGTACGAGGCTAGAAAAAACAAAACAGAATAGGATCTCTGAAAGTATTCAAGGAGTCAGTCAGGAGGGCTTAATCTTTGGGGGATGGTCTTCAGAACTGCACAGTGGCGGCTGGTGAAGTTTTCTCCAGGGGGGTGGGTGGGGGGGGTGGGGGGCTATAAATTCAAATTGAAAAATGCTTTATAAAAACAAAACATTATTTCTTGTATAGGTACATAAATTTTGTAGTTTTGAGGCTTTGTGTATGGAGGACCTGGTCTACCATATTTAAAAATGAATACAGAAATAAATAAATGCTCAATAAAAAAATAAGCATGCAATTAATTGCCCCCCAAAAGACAAAGAACAATTAAATATAGGTAGAAATTAAATTATACAGTGAGACATAAATGTATATATCTCTTGTAATTACCTTATTTATTTATTGCTCGTTATATTCTTCAGCTTTATTTATTAATTACTTATTTTTTAAGTATTTATTTATGTGCATGTTAAAATATTTTTGTCTGTTTTATTCTTCCTTTGTATTTTTTTACCCTATTTATTTCTTCAATGCTATTTATTTATGCCCACTCTGACTTAGTGTGGGACCAAATGTGAGAATAAGGATTTTATGAGAATTTTGTACAACATGTATATTAGAAAGCATACTAAGACTCTTTGTTACTCATATCTTCTAATAGACTTGTTATGTTTATGTTATGTTTAGAGCTATTGAGAGATTACTGCCAAATAATTTACAAGTCATAGAAATGACTGGAGGAAGCAGGATTTCAAAAGTAAACGTGTGTGCACTATCTTAATGCAAATATGTGTTTCAGTGCATGAAGTAAAATTATGCAACAACTTAGACGAGGTGGTAAAAAATGCCCAACCAAAAAATGTGTTCAAACGATTTTACAAAGAAAATATTATAGTATCTTATACACAGCTGAGTGAATAATAAATGAATAGTTTTTAATTTCTGTCAACGTTTGGTGGAGGTTGGTTGAGGACACAAATGCAGAATTGAGGAGCTGAGCTGACTTGATGAAAAAAGGGGTACAGAAACAAAAGTTCAAGAACAAAATTCCCCCAAAAAACAGGAGACATCAGGGTAAAACACACATGGGGGGGCAAGTAACAAAAGAGCAACAAAACAACAAGAAAGCAGAATATGGAACTGCAGAGATGGTGTATGTATTGGGGAACAGAACAAAGAATAGACTAATGAGCTGATATGGAGCAGGTTTGAATTTAACTAACTAGAAAGAAGCCAAGGGGAAAGGAAACAGGTACAAGGGGGCAACAGGGAGTAACTCTAGAAATACAGACTGCATTAAAAAAAAAAATGGAAAAGAAACCAATGAACAAGAAAACACTTAAAAACACTCAAACAGAAATACAAAAAAGGAGAACCATAACAACTTTATTGTTAATTTAACTTATATGGCCACGACAACTTATTTCGGAACTACGGAGAAAGGGGGAGATTTCTACACGATTTGCCTTCTTTCTGCTCCTTTTCAAATCTGGATAATAAGTGTTGAACATAATTGAATTAATGATGAAATTATTAAATTGATTGAACTCAATTTGGTCGTTTGGTCTAAAAAGTCATTGTTTGCACTAATCCTGAATGACTGGGGCTCAGTAGGAAGAACGGCCATCCTACAAATGTTAGTAGATTAATTTCAGCTTCCTATTACATGTCCCTATGGCCTTTAGCACTTATCTCCAGGATGTTGATGAATCTGCATATTGATCACTGTTTCATATTGTAGGCTCCATATTTTTTCTCTGCTGTCACTTTTTAGTGCTTCTAATTCAAACTGTTTTCTGTTTCATATAGATGCTTTATATATAGAACTTTGCAAAGGCGCAAATACTGAATTACAAACTGGAAGAAATGTGTTAAAAACAGGGCAACTGGTTTTCTTGCCGAGTTATGGACAATCAAGGATTTTAATGATAAAAGGCAAGGTAATAACTTTTTTTTTTTTTCAGTAATATTAACTTCAGTTTTAGAAATGCATGTTATTACATTTCTAACTTCTGAAAATGCAATAAAATGAATTCAAATTGTTGTGTTAATCAACTTTTAATTTTGTCATTTTATCTTCTCTGTTCTACTATAGATAAGCTGATTTTCAACATATAGTAAGAGAAAAACTGCTTTAAAAAAAAACAAGAGCTTGTGAGAATTGATTGTGATATTTCATAGTACATGTTCTATCTAGAACCTATTTTTGCAGATATTTAGCTGTGTTTGTTAGGATCTAAATCTGGGGGTTTTGTCACCATTTCTTAAACTGCCCTGTCTCTAAATATCAGATTTTATTCCACATTTTACCAAAGTGCAATGGGATGGTGACACCTCTATGGCATGCTGCTTAGATTGTTCATCTTCACCTCCATTTTGATAGTACAAGTAGTGCAGTCAGAGTACTTACTGCTTTGTCTTTGAATAAAAGAAAAAAAACACATCTTTATCATGATGTGAAGTATTTTCTGTATTTTATGACATATGTATAGAAATCTGTTATTTAATGTGTAGCTCTATATATTCCTGCTTTAATTCATATTATGAACAAAATGTTCTGATAGAATCTAGCATGTCTGTATAATATCTCACTTGTGTTTCAGGCTACAAACCCACGTATCACAGTTTTGTCCAACAAAGTACATCTTATAGGACTCCAAAAAGAAGATGAAGGAAAATATCAATTTATATCTCTCAGAGGGCTTGTAAACCAGTATGAGGTAAAAGTAATAGGTAAGAACTACTCTCATGATAAATAACTGAATATGCAATGTGATTGACTTTATGTTTCATCTTTCTTATAATTACCCCAAAACCAGAAAAGCTGTTAGAAAACAAGTAGAATTTAATGTTTTGTTTATGATTTGATTAATATTCTCTTACAAACTATGCAACAAAATAAATGTCTCTTTACTAAAATTTCAATTACTATCAACCAGCTTTTAACATGCAAACAAAACTGTCATGATGTTTTAAAGAGATCTGACCCACATGCAGGAAACCACTCAGAGAAACCAGAGTAAAAGTTTAACAGGTTTATTAGGAGTCCAAATGGGTTGGATTCAGGTGAACTCAGAGGGCTGGTGAACCGGGACTGGAAGTAAGAGAGGAAGTTCGCAGAGGTTAGTTCAGGGTCCGTGGGAACTTTGAACGACGTCTTGCAAAAACAGAGGTAAACTGGACTCACATTTGCGGAGAAAGGGTTCTGCCCAGTATCCAGTTGGTGTGGGTTTATCCAGAGATAGAGTGGCTCGTTGGGGGGCGGACAGGTTTTGCTTTGGTTGGTTCCTGAGGAGCAATGGAGTGGACTGCCACTTAGATTTCCAGGAGTACTTGAACGGGGCGCATGGAGATAAATCCTCTGCTCAGTGTGAAGCTCAAACAAACCCTTCCAGGGGGGAGAACGCCAATAATCCAGTATGCAGGATGACTTCCTGCCGAAAGGCAAAGGACAAAAACAACGTTAGAACTCAGAGAAACAAAGACTCAGTTAGACTCAGCTAAACTCAGCTCGGCTAGAGTACCCAAAACTGGCAAACACTCTGGCGGAGAGGTATTGACAGTCTGCCGCTAAAATACTCCCCAGTGATGAGCCAACCAGCCGCAGGTGTGCAGGAGGACCAACGAGGACAGGGCACCACCTGGTGGTGGAGGGAGAGAGAAACACCAAAACACAACCCACACAGACTGGATTCCTAACAAAAACTACTTTGAGGAGATTTGATTTTGTGATACATCTACTTGCACCTTTATCACCATATGATTTTAATATTTGTATTTCATTTTTTCTGATTTGGTATATGGCTCATAAATTTTGTTATATTTCCCACTAAAAAGGATTCAAATGCTTAAGAGAATTTATTTTAATCATTGGCCTCAGAATTTGGACATTTTTATTTACCATAAAACAAGCTGGAATTTCTAATATGTTTTTTCCCTGCTTTTGTATTTATTTATGTTGAGTTGAAGGGTGGAGTTCAGAAACTTTACTATTTGTTAAACTATCCTACCTAATATAACACTTAAATAACTATCTTTGAATCAAAGTTAAAACTATTTGATTTAAAAATGTTGTTTTGTTGATTTCTTTTTATTTTATTGTTTAATTTCAGAATGTTTTACAATAAAGTATATGGACAATTTTCAGCATAATGTTCCTGAAAGAGCTCAGTATCTGTATTTCAAGGATTGGAATGGAAACGATGAATTTCTGTGGGATCGTGCACAAGGTCAGACCATTAATAAAAGACGAGGAAATATAAAGAACAATGTCTGGACAATGGTCGATGTCACTCAGGCAGCTGGAGGAGTCTACTTCTTTACTCGTAAAGACATGACTGTTGAGCTAAAGATAAAGCTATCTATAAAAGGTACATTTTTAAATCTGTTTTAAGCTGCATGTGGAATTTTCCATCTATTTTCTTGTAGAAATTAAATATATATCTATGTCTAATCTACCAAACATAGAAGAAACCCAGGATTATAAAGTGAAAGTAAATGAGAGCCTCTTCATTAAATTTCCTGAGCGCGGAGGACCTTGGGATGTGGTGTTCAGCTCAAAAAATAAACAACAGAGGGTGATGATCAAAAGTCAACTAGTTTTGGAAGGCACATGATTCAAGGGGAGAATTACTATTCAGAGTAAAAGCATTGAAATTAAATCAGTGGAAGCAGAAGACTTTGGAACTTTTAACTTCCATGATCAACAAGGCAACCTGGCAATGTCTGTTAAGCTGGATGTTGACTCTGGTGAGTAAAACAGCATTTCTGATTTACATTTAAAAGTTTACAGATGATTTAACCATAACTTTCCTTCCTATATATTTTCTAATAGGACCTAATCCCCTAGTTGCTTATATTGTTGTTCCGTTGGTCCTTCTGGCGGTTTGTGGCCTTTGTTGGAGTTTCTGCAGCAAAAAAGATAAATCAAAACCTAGCGAGCAGGCTTCTGTTTCTCCCAATGTAAGTATAAGGTGGATGCTTAATTAAGATCACTTTATATTTTTATATTTTTATTTTTCCAGCAGTGAAGCATTGTAAAGGAAATATTTATAGAGCATGTGGTGTCTGAGTGCTTTGCATATTGTTTTTATAGAAAAACAGCTAAACCCCTGTTTTCTAAAGCTCTTTATGATGGGCCCTTTTCTGATGATTCAGCTGACTCCTGTAATAAAACTTGTGTGCTCAATTTTTGGTGGTTAGTTTATTTCTTCACTGCTGGGTTTTGACACCACTGGAGCTCAATGGAACATCCAAATGTTTAGAAATACGTAAATCAAGGCATCATGTTGGCATCATGTTTCACAAGACCGTGAGAGTCTTTAAAGAGATTTTTTTAAACCCATAGTGATGCAGTTCTTTCTGCATACCTTGATTAGAAATATTTCCTTGTGCCATAAGTAAACAGGACTGTTTCCTGAATAACGATAAATTGTAACAGTTTCCTTGGTTATTTCCTTTATTTCCTATCTGTAGCATTTGAGAACCTGTTTTATTTTATTAATTTATTCCCTTTGGTCCCTTGTTGCTATAGATACAGATTTTGCTGTAATATGTTTAGGTATTTTCCTTATATGAAACATCAAGAATGTCAATATCAAGTGGAAATCTCAGGAAAAAGACGTATAAGTACATTTTTGTATGGAGAAATATGCATTCAACTGTTATTTTATCTGTTTGACACAACTGTTCTGTTTTGTTTTTCATTTTTTTTTTATTTCTTTTATCATCACCCTACTTTTTGCCCGATTTTTCTAAATTAGATATCTTTTTCCCTGCAGCCTGATACTGTGCATGCTTCACAGCCTAATACCAACATGTATCCTCTGGTTCATCAGGTAAACATTCACAGGTTTTTAAAAACCTTAAAAGGTAGTTTTTTTCTTTAACTCTTATGAATTTCTCTTTTTATTTGTTTCTCTCTCACCACTTGCTCCAGGTTCCAATTCCAGATTATCGTACTTCTACTACAATCTATGAATCTGAGTCTGATTCTAATGCAACACAAGATGTAATTTCTAACATCTTGAAGCTGAGCCAAGTGATTCAAAGTTCTGTATAACCCAATTTATTCATGGCTTTGTTTAGAAGCAGGCTATTTTTCCCTGATAGTAATAGCATTGTCACAAACACAATACATCACCACTAGATTTACCTAAAGCCTTATGTGGAAACCGAAGGAACAGACTTGGAGAGGTTTTACCATGGATCTTAAAGGTGGATCTTAAGTCCAAAAGCTCTGGATGTTCAAAACTGTTGCAGATAAAAGTATGGTGTGAGCTTCAACGAGTTGCAATGATTACAAATCACTATTTTAATAAGTGCATTAGATATTAATTTGTTTAAGTATATTTATACAATTGTACCTATAGATTGTATTTTTTTACCTTACATTTTTTACCATTTGTTGCAGTACTCTATTGATTTATATACCCATGTGTTTGAGTACTGCAAGCTTCTTTTTTGAGATAGTATATAGCTCTGTTGTGTTTTTGTTTGTTCCTTATTTGGTTTATAGAGAAACAAAATGCTTTACTAAATAATATCCAAAACATGTCACCTTTAAAGCTTTATGTAACATATCATATGTAACATTGAATGATGTTATGTGAATTTAAAGAGAACCAAAAGGATACAAATGTGACATATTTAGTAAAGGCAAGAATACAAAGATTGCTTGTATTTCTATTTGAAGTGTTAAGCTGTTTGGTTATTGTGGTCTTGTACAGTTACAGGTTTTTATATGTCAAAAATAAGGGTTATATTTCTAGAAATGTATTCAATATAGTGAGTTTAAGGATTTGCATCTCATCCATTGATCTAGATTTTCTGATCTTTAAATGAGACAAATCAACATGCTCTGTGATTAATTAGTGAGCAAAACAAGTAACTTGCAGGAGGATTACATTTCCATTTAAGTGCTGTTGGCAAGAGACAGATTTGTTTTTGATTCTAACAACTAGTTTGAATGAATTGCAGAAAACTTTAAGAAAAACTGGATTAAATGTTCCGATTTATTTTATTAAATAGTAGACCTGTTCATTCACCCTGTAACAACAATTATAATCCTATAATGACCAATGTATTGGACTAAATAATTGTTTTAAAAAATATAAATGATTTCAGTAACACACCCTGCTGAAGAACTTTGGCTTGCATCAACAAACATTTAGAAATCATAAAAATGTCCGTTTGAATCTTAATGTAAAATGTTACAGTTTATGTAGTGGTAAAGTATCGAGCTACACAAGACAAACAAACTTGTTAAAAAAAAGTGTAAAGAGATTGATATGGTCTTATAATACGTAAAATAATAAATAAAATAACTTAACTTTTTGAACTGTATTGATCTCACAATGGAGAAATTCCCTTCTGCATCTAAACCCATCCCCTTAGGGAGCAGTGGGCTGCCACTGTGCGACACCTCAGGAGCATCTGGGGTTTAAGGGTCTTGCTCAGGGACCCAGAGTGAGGCTGTGGGGATAGAAGCAGGAAAGCACAAGGAAACTGCTCTAACCACTAAGCCACCCACTCCCCAATATACTCCATTACAATTCCTTAATAACTATTTTTATATTTTTTGTTACCTAATTGTGCACTGCAAAAAATGTAAATCTAATTTTTTTTAAAACAATTGCATTTGTTCTTGAATTGAGGAGGTAGGAGAGACATTTGATGGACCAAGACAATTTACATTTAAAATAAGAAAAATAAGTTGCATTCATTTGTTTCAAGTACATATTTCCTAATTATCTACCTAATTGAGTGTAAAAATACTCATTCCATTGGCAAATCATATTGTTGACCTTCTCAGATTAAGGTAAATATACTTAATTAAAGAATCTTTTACTTATTTCCAGATCGTTTTTGCAGAGTAAAACCTTAATGATGTTTGAATCCTCTAGGCAACATCGGATGAAAATAATAAGTTTCCCAGTTTTATTTTCTGCTTAGGATATCAAAATATTTTTTGGGGGGGTCGAAGAGACATAACAGTACAATACAAGTCAATAGTAGACAAGAAGGAAATTGATCAGGCTATTAAGTATAAAGAGGACAGTTATGAGTCTATTGTGATCATTTTGTGATTCTAAAAGCTTTGCAGGCAACACAAAAAACATGTGCATTCTTTTGAAAATAACTCTTTTCAAGACTACTGAGATTACTGAATATATTTTCCGACCATTTCCTTATGTTACTTTTTTATGAATTTTTTTTTTACTAAAAGAAGAATGATCTAATAGACTTTCAAATGCTATTTTTAGTGTTCTTAGTCTGAAATGGCCTTGAAAGGATCTGTTTATGTTTTCCATCTGTTTGTCTTTTTTGAGTCTGTAAATTCCATGCACGCAACTAAACGCAACAGCAGAATCAAAGGAGCAGACGCCCCTTTGAGACTGATCCCCACCTTCTGGTGGTTTAGTACGATGTGATGTCTGCGCTACCTTGACTAAATGCTTATATTATTAGCCTGTTACAGTGATTTTACAGCGTTAAACACCAACTGAAAGTCACGGTACATGATGCATTTGCTGCTGTGGTTAAGCGCCTGTTTCTGTGTCGGTGAGTTATCAAGTTTTTATCTTGATTGATTTCAAATAACTGACCCGATTTTGTGAGGCTTCTATCACGATTCAAAACTTAATATGGTGCATAAATAATTTTAACTTCGTTAAATACAGTATTTCAATCTTTTTACCCCGCTTTGTGAAAATAAAAACAATATTTATATTTGTGCTTTCTTTAATAGCAATCTGTTTTTGAGTTTCTAAGAAGTCTCATCACACTGGAAACTTAAACAATTATATAATTTATGGTTATTATGGCACATTTTTTAAATGGACATGAAATCTAAACGGTAAGATAGCGCCCCCGTCTTGTGACTCCTGAAATTACATGATCATTTTCGGGTTATGCATAGAAACAAAAATGTAGGGAGGACTAATCATGCCATAATTAGAAATAAATAAAGACATAAATAAATGCTCCAAAAAAAAAAAAAAAGGGATACAATTAATTCTCTCCTTAAAATACAATAATTGTAGATAGAAATAATATTATACAGTGAGACATAAATGTATATATCTCTTTTATTTAGCTTCTTTGTTTTTTTCGCCTTTGTAATTATTAGCTTAGTTATTTATTGTCCGGTATAATCTTCAACTTTATTTATTAATTATTAATTTCTTTAAGTATTTATTTTTGTGCAGTTTATAATATTTCTGTCTGGTTTACTCTTTCTTTGCATTGTTTTACCCTATTTATTTCCTCCATGCTTTTTATTATGCCAAAAAAATCAGTGTCTTTAAAGTGATGTTTCTTTAGAAGGCTAAAGCACTGATAGAAGCCTTTCCTGTTATTACAAATATGGAAAAGGTGTATATATGTATATGTATATATATATATATATATATATATATATATATATATATATATATATATATATATATATATATATATATATATATACACACACACACACACACACACACACACACACACACATTCTTAATAATATTGGTTGTTTCCCTTTGTATCATAAATATTGACAAACTCCAGACTCCAAACTCTTGAAGCTGTAATTTATAGAAGACCCTACTCTCCGAAAGGAGAGGAGCATGTACTGTGTAACTCTATACAATTGAACAGGTATCATTTATTTATTTATGTATTTATTTTTAATTATGGCAGGATTGGTCCTCCATAAAATTGTTCTCAAAACTTAGCAATGTAAAATGAGTAGCATTCAGTTCAGTTTAATTCATTTTCAAGAAGATTGAGAAGCTAAAACGACGCAAACAGTAACCAAAAGAGTCGCAACTTTTACCTTGAATTTATGGTGTAATGCTTTTAATGCATTTGATGTTTGTCATCATTTGGACAGATTCAAAAACTCAACATTCACAGTGATGGTTTCAGGCAAAATGAATGTCTTAAAATGTATAAATTACAAAACCGAATGAGGAGAAAAATTAAAATATTTAATTAATTTTATAATTTATTTACATTCAGTAACTTCTGAAGCCGACATAAATGTGAAATAAAAAACACAGAATCAAAGCTTAAAACGAGGTTAAAAAAAAATAAAGTATTTCAATTGAAACCATTTTATACAGCAACAAATAAAGTATCTACCCCTTTCAAATTAAGTTACTCTTTTCTATTTTCTGATAAGTATTATTATATTATTATATAAAACATATATATACACATGTATACATGTAACGTATTTATAATAATAGCATTATCAACATCATCTCTAAATAGAAAACATGTACAAGATTATGCAATACCTACAGGAAAAATAATAAAAGAAATTGCAGACAACTACTTAGAAAACTCTGAATTGACTGTAACAATAACTAAAAATGTAAACGTTTGCCCTTTTCTGCAGGCTTCTCTTTTGAATTTTATTGGAAGAAGGACTATGGAAACATATTCAGCACAAAGCTAGATGGGTGGATCTACTACATCGAGTTCACTCCTAATTCCGGCTCCAATCAGATGATCCTGTGGAGTCGGGATGCTCCTCAGGCCAATTTTGATGACAGACGGAGAACAGAGGGCAATAACTTCATTATTTACGACTTGACCCAGAGAGATAGTGGCCTGTACGTTATGAAGGACGAAAGGAATCAACCAAAGTCAAACAGAAGAGTTGAGGTAGTAGGTGAGGATGTTAAAGTACTAAGTCTTGCTGTGATGATCGCTTTGAAAGTAATAACAGGAAAGTTGTGGATAAAGACTCTGTCTTTGAGCTCTTTTAAATGGCTATGGGATAATCCTGAAATAACTTTACAGATAAAAGTTTTAGAGCTGCTTTTAATAGCTCAGATATAAACTTGAGACATTCAGCACCATCAGTGACTTCTTCTAAATGTTTCCTCTTTATGCTCTTGTCTACCCCAAGACTTCCCTCTTCTTCTTTCCTCTGAAGGAAGTCAGGGGTCTTCCTAGGCCAGCAGAGCTACATGGTACTTCCAGTACGCCTTGGGCCAGACCCTAGGCCTGGTTTTTTAGCCATGCCTGGAACAACTCCCGAGGGAGGCACCCAGGGGTTATCTGAGCCACCGTAGCTGACTACTTGATGTGGAAGAGCAGTTTTACTCTGAGCCTCTCCTAGATGGCTGAGCTTTCCCCCCTATCTCTAGGTAGTGCCCTGCCATCCTGTGGAGAAAGCTTACGTGTATCCAGGATCTAATTCGTTTGGTAATTTACTAGATTTCATGAAAGTAGATGAGGGAAGAAACATTGACAGACAGGCAAATTGAGGACTTTTCATTTTGGCTCAGCTCTCTATTCACCACAACATACTGGTGCAACATCTGCATTACAGCAGTGACCACAACCTTCATTCTGTCGATCCTTCGCTCCATCATCACTTGTGAACAAACTCTTAAGTTGATCGACCTGAGGAGGGCATGTACATAACTGCTACTCTAAATTGAGCAAAGGTTTTGGTTACTCTGCCCCTCCCCCGTGCACATGAAAACCTTAAATCTGAATTTAGTTTGAAATGATTTGATTTGATTGTAAAGCGTAAAGTCAGAAATGCAATTTTGGCAGGAGAAAAATGGCAGGTTTTCAGAGCCAAAAAAATCAAAACATATGATGGACATTTATATTCAGCCTCCTTAATTCTGTCAACTGAAAATTTGTTAAAAAGAGTGACATGTAAGTTGTTAAAAAATCTGTTGCAAATAGTTAGATAGAAAAACTTAAAGTCAATAAAAATGTGAATTAATATTTTTTCTCCTTTTATTGCCCCCCCAGCAAAGAGAAAGAATTTGAACCTGCAGTATTTTGACGGTATTTCTCTCACCTCTGACCTGGATCCTGGCATTTGCAACATTTACTTCTTGCCAGAGAGCGGACCGCAGGTAGAGATAGTTCGTCATGGACAGCTGCAGTACTCCAATGAATCAAAATGTAAAGGATTTAAACTTTTGGAGCCATGTGGGCTCGAAAAGACCTTCTATGGGTCATGCGTTGGACAGTTTCAGGTGAGAGATAATAATAACGACACCGCCCTGGTGATGTTTGTGGAACAGAAGCGTAAGTAACCTGCATCTCTCACATGATTTATACAGAGAGTACCCGACATAGACGTACAGTGTGCTTAGGGTGACCAGATTTATATATTTTTTTTGTTTCACTCAAAAGTGGTTTTACGTTTAAGGAGAAGCGATCACCTGTGCATTGAGGCCTATTTGTATTTGTTCATTTTCAAAGAACATTAATTTCAAATGCATGTTTTCATGCTTTTGTATTTTAGGTACTCCGTAACACGATCCTCCAATCATAACATTCAAACATTTCTAACAAAACTAACTGTGCTATACAATGAAGAATCTGTATAAAAAAGAAGAAGATTAAGCAAGTCAAAACCTGTTAGGGAGCAGCATAGAGAATCCAAACTGCTCTTTGAAACTGGTTTTTGCTCTTTTTGCTTTATGCACTGTGTCTATAACTTACTTTTCTTATGTGCACCAATGTTCCTGTTAGTGCATCTAAATCACATTTAACATATTGACTTGTAAATGATTAATTAACAATTTGGCCAACATATAAATTGTTATTTAAAGCCGAATTCTACAAAATCTTAACAAGTCTAAACAATAAATGAGGGCCTCCTAGGGACTTTAAACTGCCTCAGTGCTTTGTGGGATTTCCTTCATTGGAGTCACACCCCCCTCATATGGATAAGTCCGTTGTTTGCTTCTTCTTACCTTTGGCCTTAGTTAAACCAACTTGTTTTACTCTTTCAAACATTCACACCTTCTAGATTTGATCCATCTGTTCTGTTTTTATTAGATGTTCCACTGTGTCTGAATGAAGAGATGATCTCGATCCTCTTTTATGCCAAAAACCTTCATAAAATGTATATTCCACTGAACTATTATCAACATGATTATACGTTATTCAACCCCATGGGGGAAGCTGAATTGTCATCAGAGCTAAACAGATTGAAAAAATCTGCACATGCAAGATCCAAAAGTATTGGGAGAAAATAGATAAGATTATGTTTGTAACTATAGTAAAGAAAGTGAATGACATGGCATCTATTAAAATAAGATTTACTAAATCTATAGCAACTATCAACCTCCTCCTCCCTTTTCACTTCTGGAATCCAAATTATTTACTGCATTAATTTGGTTTATTGGCGAGGTCAGATAAGCATTAATCACTGAAGACACTCGGTCCTGGAAAGAATTCTTCTTTGAACAGCCCGTAGCACTGCTGTGACACTAAATGTTTGCACCACTAAGAAACTAGGTCACACTCAATCGATTTGAAACTCTAACTAAACTCTAATGTAAAGGAGGCATACTGTGGCTCTCACACATGGGTCTCTTCAACCCAACTTCCTACCCATCCCCCAGCAGCACTGTGCCTCAAGTCATGCAACCAATGCAAACTATGGCATAGTTGTGGGTGTAGGCCTCTTGTGCCCAAGGAAAAAAAAAAAACACCCTCACCTTTGGTTTGCATGCTGTTTGTGGTAAAACTGCCAGTGCAAACATACAACTGCATTTTACAGGCAACCCTAATATTAAACACATACTGTTGGTGCTGAATCTCATGTCCAGTTTTAGTTGTGATGGAAACACATACAGCAGCACTAGTTAAGTTTTTAGTTTTTCAACTTGCTTCATCTATCAACCACAAGAGGGTGCTACATCCTAATCCCACTTTAGGGTTAATAAATTAAGCTACCACTGCCCACAAAGAAAAATAATGATTGATCCTAAAGTTACAGTTTGTTTAAGGCTTAAAAAATGAGAAGATAATACAGAAGTCGACAAACTCGCCTAATGACTTACATTAGAGTTACATTAGAATTGCTGATTGGCTTGCAGTAGTAATGCCTCAATAAGTCTCATACTGCATTGTACACATTTATAAGACTATTAGTTCAGTTCTTTTGCTAAAAATAGTTAAGATTATTTATTACTTAGTCTACTAAAAGCCTTGAAGACCCTGCCAGCTCGCCACTGAGATAAAACTTATTGAAAACTTCATAAATATCTTCCTATCTTACTCTTCTTTTACGGTTTGAGTTTTCGGCTACCAATAAAAGCTACCACCCAAAGTTTCTCCTAAGTTTGACTTTGAAGAAACAGTTTAGCTGGTTAGTGTTTACATTTTTACTGTTTTTTTTTTGGTGAATTTTTTTTTCTGGTTTCCATGAAACAAACATATTAGAAAGGCAGCTCGTATTCTAATACGCTGTCTCTCAGGATTTCTTGGTTAGTTAGAGTGTGATGCAATAAATCTGGTGAACTTCTGCTTCCCCACAGGAGACATGGCTGATGATTAAAAAAAAGTCAGTAATCTGTGGGCCCTTAGTGCTATTTATCTGCATAGTTATTGAACATGTCCCACAAATCAAAAAGGGCTTCTCCCCTGTGGGTTTAACTGTTAAAAACCAATCAAAGTGAGTGAAACTGAAAAACGTCTGAAAAGTGACACAATCCTGGACAAACGGTAGTGATCTGGTTACCCTGAGTAGACTTCAGATCATTTTGCCCCTTCGCTAGTTTGTACACTCATTTCCTAATATTGCATTGTCATGTAATTGCTTCCTGTTTCCAAAACAAACCCCAGTTATACTCTATTATTATGTGTTTTTATCATCGTATATTGTTATTTTTAGGAATTCTATCTCCAATCAAATTTAACGTCATTAAATATGACCTGTAAACGACTTGTTCATCCGTTCTATTTTGTTTTCAGTCTTTGTTTTAATCAGTTAACGCCTTTAAATCATGACAAAATAAGTGAATTTCTGTTTTAGATTTTAATAAAGTCATTAACTATTAACATATTACTGTAGACTACAACTACAAAAAACAAACATGTAAACCATCTTTTTTTAAAAGGTGTAACAAAAAAGGTGTTTAAGACCTTCAGTATACGAAATCGTTTCTGTCTTTAAGTTCTGGTATTAAACAACCAAAAGTAAAAGGCTACTAAACAGCAAAGGGGCAGAATGAGCATAAATAAATGATTTTAACATGATGAAAAAAATGTTTAAATCAAGAGTATTCTCTAAGTTTTAGACATTCGTGTGGTATAACAGAGTTTTTACCTTTTCTTAGCCCTGCTTCCCAAATCCGCCATCTGGAGTTTAGCTGCTCTTGGCTGCACAATTATGTCTTGTTTGGTAAGTGTCTGCTGCTGTAAAATGAAGAAGAAAAGGGAACAAGTTGACGATGAAGAAGAACCTGCCGCAAACGACAAGGTGAGATACTCAGCTGGAGCTAATTGGTAATGCATGTCTATTTAGAAGTGTCAAATATGATTAATAGGAATCTGTTTTATCTAAAATGTAGATGGACCCTGAATCTGTTGCACTGCAGTCAAACCAAGTCTCTGTGCCCTCTAATTGATACGCAGTCTCACTGGTTTGTACTTTATTTATTCCTCCCATCTACAGAGGAAAGTTGTAAAGTAATGATTATAGTTAAATTTTAATTTTCAGTGAGGGAAACTTAGAACATTTTTACCTCTAAACAACAAAGGCTGCAAATGACTGCCTTGGTAAAATGATAATTGTCTCTGATGTAAGCTGTAAGGTTATGGCTATGCTTTAAACTATAGAAAATGTGTTTTACAATTCAGAAATCAAAATTGCAAGCTTATGTAAGCTGCATTATTGCAGAGATGAAGAGAGCTAAATATGGGAAGCAGATGAAGTTAAAAGAAAATAAAACTCAGCACCACAGAGCCTATAAATTAAACTGTTGTGAATGACTTATTGGAAAGTTATGGTCACTATTTGATATTTTGTGTTTAAATATGAGTCTAAATAAACTCAGACATGTATCTGCCTTTTTCCCCATCCAGCTGGCAGTTCAGATGGACATCAGAAGCCTCAATTTGACATGAAGGAAATCGACTCTGACGTGCTCCGCTTTGATGGTTACACCACTAAGATGCTCAGCTTCTTCTGAAAGATGTGATTTTTTTTAACAGCATGTACACCTTTAAAGCATTAGTCTGACATGTAGTTGTGTGTATTGGGTCAAAGGTGGCTTCTGCTGTTCTTCAGCTGAGAAACTCCTAAAATGGCTGCTGAATCAGTGCTTTTAGTGAATTAGAAATACGCACTAGTTGATGAAAGTATTTTAGGCAGATTACAAATTGTGATAATTTCAATGGATGAATGTTGTGTTAGTCTTTGAGTTAAAACTGACCACTTCTAATGTGGTTCTTTATAGAGCAGTCTGGGGTCAATGTTGCATTTCAAGTTGTTCAACAAAAAAAATCGTAATTTAACTAAATGCATCAGAGTGTCATTCCAAAAGGTTGTGTATAGTTTTAAACCTCATACAGTTATCAGTGTCCTAAACTTCAAAAGGTTGGAACTACAGTAATCTTCTTAACTCTTATTTATAACATCTAAACTGCAAATATTAGAGGCTTTCAATGCCACTGGGGCTATGATTAAACCAAAGATTCAATTTATGTTTCAATCAAATCCATTTATTTTAATCAAATGTGTTGTTCAGTGACATAAGAAACACATACTTGTAATTTCTACCTCAGGGTTCAGTCTTTGTGGTTTCTCTCTATTTTAACACATCTCTACTATAATGGTCTCCATTAGGGTTATCTCTAACGTGATCCGAAGATTTTTAGTTATCACGTTAAAGATGTTACTTGGAGCCCAACCTGTTTGCATCAGAATGACACGCACAGACCGGGTTGTAACGGTTGTTTTCAGTTGCCTGTCGAGCAATAATGAAACCTCTCATTAAGTTCAACCTTTACTGAGGTTGAACTTAATGAGCTGTTTGTTGTAGCAGGAACATTAAGCCTCTCATCCTTTAAGTGCTTGTTTAAATGCCATGTACATTTTGGCATTCTGGTGCCTTTTATTGTTTTTCGAACTCAAAGACCAACTGCAGTATGACTACCTCTCAAACTACAGAAATATAAACCAATGGTGAGCAGCATGCCTTAAAAATAAGTAAATCTGCCTCGTAGTTGTCTAAATGTGGATTTGTATTCAGTTGTTTTATCTTTATGGATTTCGAGCACACTAACACTTACTAATCCAGGTTAGATGTTTCACTGTGGAGTGTCCTATTCTTCTGCTTGTCTTTCTCTATATAATCATATCAGCTTATCAGAAAGTGACCTTTTAACGTCATATTTAATAATCTGCTTTCTGCAAACCCTGCATGTATTCAAAGCAATCAGTCCCCTCTATAATCAATCAATGATTAAATTGTTGTATTCTATCTGATTTAATTTTAAGGTAGCTCCCCTTTGCTTGCTAAAATCTTTATCTGATACTTAAAGGAAATGTAGTTTCAATAGACAAACCTCTGGTCAAAGATCTTCAAATCGTGCAACCTATGCATTGGCCAATGACCATTTTAAACATTTTTAAAACCTTGGTTTTGATGTTAAAACTGTTTTAAATATGACTAATTTATTCCCTGCTTATGAGTTTTTACTTTCAATTAGTTCCCCTCAAATGTTTTTAAATACATTCAATTTGTACATGAATCTACACATGGATTATCTAATGATAAATTTGAGCTGGATGCTATTACAAGAAGCAAGAAAACTAGGAAAATATGTGAAGGGTTCTAACCAACATGGGGGCAGAAGCATCGTGCTGTGTACCTACTTTAGTGATGGTGGAATGTCCATTTCGCAAAACTGAGCTCTACTTTCTTCAGCTTCCACTCATCTCAACAGTTACAGTTAAACTTGGACCCAAGTAACTGTTCCATTTGGCCGGAAAAAAAAAATAAAAATATATATATATATTAAACATTATAAACACTGGATTTAGATTTGATAAAAAAGTAAGCATCAATCCTTTGAAAGGTCCAGCCTCAAGCAAATGGACTTCTGACCCTATATGTATTAATTATTCTGATTTATTGTTTTCCGTCATACATATTTTTAATGTGCTAATGAAATACTTTATCTCTTTGCTCTTTAAGCCATGCACTTAGAGGTCCAAAGAAGGAAAATTTTCCTCTTTGTATTTGCACCACTTCTAATAAATAATGCAAAATGTAAATGTAATTTATGTGTAAATTACGTATAAAAGGAACTAACTTGTTATTTAACTACATTTTATTATATGACTAAATTTGTATTTAAATGTTTTCCTATGTGTCTGTACCAGTGTTGAACAATCTTCACAGCCTTAAAAGTCATATTTTCCAGGTAAAAAAGATGCTGGAACACAAAAGCTTGAATTGTTTTGATTATTTGTACAGTTAAATTTTATAGTCCAATTTTAATGTCCTCCATGTTTGTCTAATTTTGTGTTCTTATTCTGTTTAAAGCACTGGAATTTTTTCTTTTTGTTCTATTAAAGTAATGGTTTCACATTGGGTTTTACAGAGTCTTTTATATGTGTGAATGAATTATATTTTGGGAACTTTTTAGAATTAGTAAGTTAATTAATGAATCCATCTTATTTTATTTTCAAGTCAGCTAGAAATACTAAATCAAAAAACATGACTTTTATGTTAATAGGTCTCCCCAAATTGCTCTTTATTGTGATTGTAAATCATTAATAAACCTTTGTTTACAGAAATCTTCAAACACCCAAAGGGAAAATGTTATATGACAATTTTGAAGGAAAATAAAATGTAAAATCGACAGACTCGAAAGCAAAAAAATAAAAAATAAAACACCTGAAAGAACAGCTACAAAACAATTTTTAAAAAGTTCTGTAAAAGAAATGAGAATACCAATTGTTAAGAGAGCCTGTTAATTCATTTGGAAGTAAAATTCTAGTTTTAAAAAGAAGTTTAAAAAGGGAAATATATCACTCAAGTTGGTCATCACAGTGAGACAAAAGCTGAGTTTTAGAGTAAAAACAAAAGGCTCTGTATCCCTGAGTCACAAGATGAGTCTTAACATCTAGAAATAGCATTTATGACCTCAAGCTTCTGGGAGGATGTTCTTCTTAAAGTTTGATTACCGGTAGATAAAAAACTTGTCAAACCATTAACTCACTTAAAAGCCAATATCAAAATATAGAAATTGGTCCTTAAATCTTTGAGCAGCCAGGTTCAAAATATGGGTAATGTGCTCACATGTATCAGTCAAAGCCATGAAAGGTATATTGCGGTTTTTTTTTTTTTCTCTAATCAATATTTAATTATAAAGCTTGACTGGATTTCTGCATTAACCCGTTTATCAATTTGGCAAAAATCACACCAGAATCCCAGACAGCAATGTAATTAAAATGAGTGTCGTTTGGATTTCAATATAAACAGACCCACAAAGCATCATTATAGAAATTGGAAGAAAAAAAAAAGATGAAAAGAAAAATGTTCATTATTTGCTTTTGACTATATAAAAAAATAGCATGTCGACATGATGCGCTGTGGATCAGTGTATCTCTTAATCATTTAAGTTAACTTTGCTTTATTACATTTGTGGGACATGTTAAATTATTATGTCTGCATTTTTATTGAGAAACAAATTGAGCATATTCTTATAACAAGACTGGTAGGCTATTTAACTGTAAGTCATTAAAGTAGTTTACGCACATTTTAATATTATTTATTTACATGGAAGCCATATTGGAACTGATTTTGCTACATGATATCACACATAAAATTTTGTCATAAAATTCCAATAAAATACATTTTTTATATGGAGATTATGTCTTTTTTCCAGCTATAGTAACAAACAGATGTTAATGTTAATATGTTCAATTTGTTATGATTACCTTATTGTATATAATGATTTTTCTTCTAAATCTGTTTCCCACATGCTTCCTAAAAAGTGTTGATCTGATAGCTTAGGGAAATTTGATTTCAGCCAAAGGCTTACAAATGTACCTTTCACATGAAATGTATCCTGCTTATGAGTTTTGATGACATCATTTCAATCTGTACTTGTCGGAAGTTTAAATACACTGAACTAGGACAAAAATCTACTTTTTTTTTAGTTTTGATGATAATTATGATCCCCTCTTTATTTGAGCTGGATCGTGAAGCAAAAAACAAATATTCCCCTTTTGATGCTAAATATCACTCTAAAAAGAAAATGTTTTTCCAACTTTAAAGAATTGCTTCAGTTGGTAATGGGTAATTGAATTAAGTTTGACCAACCTTGATTTATTTATGCTGTCCACTCATAATTTTAATACTCTTTGCAAAAACTTGATTTAATTACTTGTTACCACTGAAAGCCATTCATTCTATATTGAAGTAGGTTTTGTTTGGACTAGATTTTGGAGAACTGTTTGACAGGGAATTGAGATGAAAATATACAATCACAATGACAGGAAAAATATGTGAGGCGTCTAGATAAATATTCTAAACCTAAGCACGTTATAGAAACCACCAGCATGGAGGTAGAAGCATCATGCTGTGGGACTATTTTAACAGATGGACAGTTAAACATGGACACAGCTGTTCCATTTAAAAAAACAAACATATCAAAACTGGTTTTAAATTTGATTAAACGTCTAAGTATTAATCTTCTGAAAGGTCCCCTTTCTAATTAATTATTGTGATTTTATTCCCCTTATACATATTTTAAATGTTTTTGTGTTTTAACACTTCAACATCCCTTTGATCCACTTCTTGTTAAAGCTGTCCTATAACCATTTTCTCAAAGGTCCAAAAGAAACTTGAGGCTTTTTTTGTATTTGTAAGATTTCTAATTAAGAGTGTCTTCTTAAACTAAAACACGCAGTCTCTTTATCTTTTGGAGCTTGTAATTATTTTATTATTTTAGATTGCTTAGGGCTACAATGGTACAAAATATGTTACCTCTAAAACAATCGTCTCCATGTATGTGCACTATTTGTACGGTTAAATAAAGCCTTTTGAAGTTTGCATTAGATCCATTGTGCCTTTTCTGTGCACAACAAGCTTGTGGTTCTCTCCTGGTTCGAAAACCCTTCCTACGTCACTGCAAATACAAAACATCATCCCAATATTTGAATTTTTTTCTGACAAACCAGCTGCTTCATAAAAGAATCTTATCAAAAGGGGAAGCTGGGCTGTGATTAATCCTGAAAGAGTATTCAATGCCTTTTTGAAACTAAGAAAAAAAGGAAACTTCAATTTTTTTTTAATCCTTTTTCTAAAACTCTTGTTACTAGGAATAAATGATAAGCATGAACATTACTGCTGAACATTTTGTAAGTTACATTACCCTCCAGCTTAGTGCACTCGGGATATTTGGGGTTGAAAAATTGATGATACTGCTTAAATATATCAACATTTAGTCATGTTGCAACTACAGACTATACTGCGTTTTAATAGTTTTAAAGTAAATCAAAATAAAATATGGCCTTTATTGTTTGGTTCTTTTTTTTACAGGTAAATAAAAACAAATGCATGCAACACTTTTCATATTTGGGAAATCATATTAAAGTCTGTGGTTCTATCGAAAACAAATGTAGAAAAAGCTTAGGTTTTAAGGGACTGTTAAGCTTCTTATTTTGTGGTAAAAGTATTACTGATGGTACTTTAGCTCCCTTTGGTTCTAAGATTATAGCCATATTAGATTTATCTGTGAATTTCTAAGACTTTTAACTAAAAATACAATCTAATCTGAGTTATGGAGAGTTTGTGCTTTACAAAATCCTATAAAGATAGTAGTATTAGAAAAAAATCACCATCCTGCTCAAAAAAAGTCTAATTTCAACAGACTGCAAATACGCATCCAGATAATGATACTTTCCTTTAACTCTCTGCGCTATAACCTGTTAAAGCTAATTTGTCCCTAATTCCTTAAATCTGCACAGCCAGCTAAAGAGAGCTAGATGGTACCCTTTGATAAACAGCAGAAATGAACCTAAAGGCATAGGGAACATCTGCAAATTATTACCTGTAACTCTAGTGGTGAATAATACCAACAGAACTGTATGTTATTTCTAGAATTCCATAGAAATTATTACTCACACAGCAATCAATCACTTGTTCATGTTTCCTCTCTGTGTTACTCTGACAGTTAAACAAGAAAAGCAAACGTTTGTACATTTCTTCCCTTGTGCTACTTTGTTGAGATTTCCTTGGCAGCCTGAGGTTTCAAGAATGACTGTTTAGTCTAAAAATAGCACGTAGAGCTGGTCTGCTTTCTGCTGTACATGGGAGCTTGTAGAGCACTGAAACAAAATACGGATTTGTCTTCATTATATCAACCTTTAGCTCATCTTTTATCTTTGCTTTTCCTTGTCTCATATTTTAAATATTACTGGAATGTATTTAAGTCCCCCATTTTTTAAAGCTATGGTGTGACTGGCTGCTGTATTCAACTGTTGACTAAAACATAGATGAAATCAATGTATGGATAGCCAAAATGTTCTCAGCTGATTACAAACAAAATTAAAGTAATAATTTAAGGATCAAAATAAGAGCGTTTAAAAGTTAGCACATATCTTCCATTATTATAGGTAGAAACCACTGATTACTGATTGAAGTCTGGGTGTAGTGATGCTCTAGAGGCACATAAAGGTGGCAGAAAAGTCTGATTTCTATCACCTAAAAACATCTCCATGACTAAAGAACTAATGTCTCAGCAGGAGCTCAAAATGTGTGTTTATCTTTAATAGAACTAATTACTGCAGCAGTATCTTCACAGATCTGTCTGCTGAAAAAAGCTGATCCAGAATGCTGCTGCCCACTTCCTCACCAAAAACAAAGGAAGTAGAGCATATTATTCCATTTCTAAAACCATTATATTGGCTCCCAGTATCTTATAGAATAGACTTTAAAATATTTCCAATAGTCTATAAATCACTGGCGTGCCACCTAAATACATACTTGTTGTTAGTGGATCAACCTCCCAGATCTTTCTGGTCGTCTGGCTCATTTCTATTTCACCAAAATCAGAACGTAAC